GCTGGCTAGACCCACGAGTGTTCTGTCTGAGATAGATGGATGTCCACTGGATGTGGATAAGACAATGGAAGGCCGACGAACTGAGCTGCAGAGTATGAATGCTCACAAAGTGGGGAAGGTGGTTGGAGCAGATGAGGCTCAGAGGTTTGCCCGAGAGCATAGGGTCAAGATCATCCCGACTCGATGGGTAATCGGCCCAAAGATGGTGAATGGGAAAGAAGCTGTGCAAGCCCGGTGTCTGGTACAGGATATCGCAAAAGGGAGCGCTGCATCATCGCTGGGATTGAGTGCGACGACTCCATCGCTTGAAGCGTTGAGGACGTTGTAGGCCATTGCTGCTGTAGATGGAGTGAACATCGCAACTTTGGATGTATCCACTGCGTTCTTGCGTTCACCTCTTCCGAAAGGTTCGAACGCGATTATCCAGTTGCCAAAAGATGTTTCTGCGTATAAGGACTACTATGTCCCGGCTTACATGATCTTGGATCAAGCCATGAATGGTTTGAGGGTTGCTGCCAAAGCCTGGAACCTGTAACCTGAAGCTGGCATGAAGAAGGTTGGGTTGAAGCAATGCCCGACAGAACCTTCCGTCTTTGAGGGTATGGTGAGAGGAAAAAGATTCCTCATGTTGTGCTATGTGGACGATTAGATGCTGTGTGGCACCAAAGAGGCCATTCGGTTGGTGACCGACACACTGAACGGTGAGTTGAAGATCAAGGAAACGGGTCGAGTCACCTTTTGTGGGGGAAAGATCACCTTTCTTGGGCGAGAGATTGAGAGACATGGAAGTCATCTCAGGATGTACCTAACCGGAGGGAGGGCAGCGAGCCCCGCCGACTGCATGAGGGATTCGACGGCATGGGTTGATGGCCATCAGCGCCCGTAATACTCCGTGCGAAGCAGAGGTCCTGGGGGCAGCTTGGGCGAATGAGCCCGACGGTGGCTCAGGGACGGCGGGCCGTCCCGGAAAATCGCACAGCAGCAAAGTCCGTGAACTCGCGCTCGATTTCAGTTCGTCGCCAATACGATGATTCAGTGCCGAGCTCCAAATGCGCAGGTAAGTTAGGCCGACTCGACTTGGCCAAGGGTGGAGGCCTCCTCCCTTGCGTTCGAGCAGGCCTGTGACTGGATGATAATTCGGCCTCGAGCCTTCTGCCGGCTGCCTATGATCCCCAATCATTAGATCCAACGTTAGTGGGATGGTTGCCAGAACGCATCTGGCCGCTGGCGCGCCCCATTGCTGTGTTCATCCCGAATAAATGGGTCAGCTTCCCGCAAGGCTGCTGCCAGGGCGGAGGATGCGTAACCCAGATGGAGATTGACGGTCCCGTGTGTGCGGGAGGTGCCGCCTGGACTGGTGATCGAGGAGGTGACGCAGCTGGACGCGGCGGACGTCGCCCCTGGACCGCTCCATGCGCTTTCTGCTCTTGGGCGACTTCAAGCAGCTCCCCGCGGTGCCGCTCGCCCGAGACACCCGAGACCCCCCGGACGAGCGCCCGACCATCAGCCTGGTCGTCGTGGGCCACGTCGATGCTGGGCGGCCTGCTGTGTGTGCGGTTTACAAGGTCCTAGGACCCGGACTAGGCCCTTATTCCCTTTTTGTTGGGGGGTTTAGGTTCCTTTATATACACCTTTTTCACCAAAAAAGGGTACCCTTTTATTCCTAGGCTACTCCTGGGGCTCAGGTTTATAGGATGTATCGGGTTTACAGGGCTTAGGGTTTAGGGGTTTGTAGATGGGAGGTTTAGGGTTTCGGGTTTCGGGTGCAACAGTCTAGCAGGAGGCGTGCCCTTGCGGAGCTTTTTTGTTCGCCGTTCGGTCGTGCTGTTGGTCAGTTTGATACGTGTGCTACAGTCCCCGAGTCGATGTCGAATTTTATTGTCCAATCACGTAATTTCCCATGTATGTGATTGAGTTGTTATGGTTGGTCAACTGTTTGACCAGGATGCATTCTGCTGCGGCGTGTAACATCTTTCTTATTTCGCTCGTTGCGAGTGTCGAAGGGGCGTCCGCAGAAAACCGGCTTACAGCAAATTAAGCAAGATCCAAACGTTCTGGCAGTCATGACCATGAAGCGACTCTGGCTGGTTTGTCTTTTGGCTATGCCTGCCCTCGCCGAGGCCGTGCTACCAAGATTCGAAATTACCTCCGCGTCTCCAGTGTTCGAGGTGCTTCAGAGCAACGACTCACCGGGCAACCAAAGTTTTCCATTGCAGAAGACCGATGTGGATGCCAGCGTTGCCAATGGAGTTGCACATGTCCGTGTCAGTCAGAGGTACACCAACCAAGGGTTGGGGTGTTTACACTTGCGCTACATCTTCCCACTGCCTTCGCGCGCGGCCATCAGTGCCATGTGGATGATTGTTGGAAATCGTACGGTCGAGGGGCAAATACGCACCAGCAGTGACGCACGTCAGGAGTTCGAAGAAGCCAGAGAGTCTGGGCAGACAGCCAGTTTGTTGGATCAGGAGCGCCCCAATGTCTTTGCCATGGAGCTTGCAAACATAGTGCCAGGCGATGCCGTTCAGGTGATTGTTGAGTACGAGGAGACACTGGTTCCCATTGATGGCATCTTCGCTTTTACTTTCCCAACTGTTGTGGGCCCGCGATACGGCCAGGGATGGCAGAGTGGAGCCTCCACATCGGACTTGAGTGTGGATTTGCGACTGACTGTGGCGCCCATGTGCTTAGGCATGGAGTCTGTTCACCAGACCCAGATTCACAACACCTCGAACACCACGTCGGCTGTGCTGAGCGGCATGAACTCGGACCTCATCATACATTTCTGGTTCACTGAAGCCGCCGTCGGTGCGCAGCTTCTAGTCACAGAAAGCTATTTCTCCTTAGCCATCCAGCCTCCGCAACGGCAGCTGCTTAGCCCTTCACAGATCTCCAAGCGCGAGTACATCTTCGTGCTGGATGTGTCTGGGTCCATGACCGGCTACCCAATCGACTTGTCCAGGAGTTTGATGACCCAGCTGCTGAGAGACTACGTGAGAGCCGGTGACAGGCTGAACATCCTGCTTTTCGCGGGCGGCTCTAACGTGCTGAGCCCACAAGGTAGCCTTGAGGCTACAGAGGTAAACGTGAAATACGCAGAGACATGGCTCGATGAGAACATGCGTGCTGGTGGGGGAACGGAGCTTCTGTTTGCCTTGAACCAGTCCTTTTCCCTGCCTCAGGATCCATCCACTTCGCGTATCATGATCATCATGACCGATGGCTATGTCACAGTAGAGAAGGAGGCCTTCGATATTGTCCGCGCGAATATCGGAAAGGGGAACGTCTTTGTCTTCGGTGTTGGTTCATCGGTGAACCGCTACCTTCTGGAGGGCTTGGCGCGGGTCGGGTATGGAGAGCCTTTCATGGTCAGAGATGAGACTGAAGGCCCCGAGGTTGTCACACGGCTCCGGCTCTATGTTGACACCCCTGTCCTCACGGACCTCTGGCGGGAGGGAGTGGAGCCCGCTGTAATAGTCCGGCCGCTGCGGTCGTAGCACCCTGAACCCCTGAAGCCTGAGAAACTCCAAGCATCATGCACAAAATCCGTAAACGTAGACTTAGGTTTATGGAATTCAGTGTTTGAGACCTGAACTCCTTGATCCCAAAGCATCCCAAACCTTTTGAATTCGCAAAATTGGGCCTGGAGACAATGGGTTTCGATTCTTCCAAGGCCGCGCAAGGCTACATTTGAAGTGCAAAAGCAGAAATCCTTTCCCACGAAGGCCAGAACCCCGGACCCTGAACAAGCACCAAAGTGCAACCCTCAACACTCACGGTGGCCCTGCTGCGTTTGGGCTCCAACGCCCCCAAGCCCTTAACATCCCTAAGCCCTAAACCCCACACCCCCAAAACCATCATCACTTCCCAGCCGAGCAGAAAGGCCCACTGTAAATCTGGAGTGTGCCTTCGGGCTCTAAATTCAAGCAGCACTGACAAAAGTCGGAAACCAGGGTTTAGGGTTTAGGGTTTAGGTGGTGCCCAGAACCCAAACACCTTCAAAGCAGCTCCTGGCGAAGCCCAACTGCTCAAGCTAAAATCCCATGCCCTAAGCCCCTTAAACATACGGCCATGAGCCAAACGGCCATGAACCCATGTTCACCCTAAACCACGAACCCCTAAACCCTAAACCCAAAACTCCAAACCCTTTGAGCCCTAAACCCTAAACCCTAAACCCTAAACCCTAAACCCTAAACCCTAAACCCTAAACCCTAAACCCTAAGCCCTAAGCCCTAAACCCTAAACCCTAAACCCTAAACCCTAAACCCTAAACCCTAAACCCTAAACCCTAAACCCGTCGAGAATCAGCTTTCGAAGCAGGACTTGCAGCTGACTTTCCCCGCCGCCTTCGAGGCTTCTGACCAGGAGCCGCCGAATCTGCCCGACGTCCTGGCGAGCAGGCCCCCCTCGGCCGGGGGGTTTTAGGGTTTAGGGTTTAGGGTTTAGGGTTGGGGGATTTGGGGTTTGGAGTTTGGGGTTTGGGGTGTAGGGTTTAGGGTTTTAGGGTTTGTTGTTGGTTCATGGTTGTTGGCTGTTGGTTCGGGTTTTAGGGGTTTTAGGGTTTGGGGTTGGGATTTGTAGTTTCGGGTTCGGGGCATTAGGTTTGGGATGTGTGGCTCCGGATTTGGGGGGTAGGGTTTAGGGTTTTAGGGTTTGGGGCTTAGGGTATTAGGATTGAGGTTTTGGGTTTTGGGTTTTAGGGTTTGGGATTTGTGGTTCAGGGTTTGGGGTGTACAGTTTAGGGGTGTAGGGTTAGGGGTTTGGGGTATTGGGGTTGAGGGTTTGTGGTTTTAGGTTTTGGGATCTGGAGTTCAGCGATAAGATCAGAGGGTCCTGTTCAGAGTTTCATCCGCATCACCAACCAACAACCAACAGCCATTAAGCAACAACCACCAGTCAACAACCAACAACCATAAAAGCAACAAACATGAATTCAGTTCAGGGTTCACAAAAGACCTAGTGGCCAACTTGCAGTCAACTCGTCTCGTGGCTTGAGGCCAATGCCGGTGGTCGGAAATAGCCATTCTCAGTTCACCGGTAACCATGAACCAGCAACCATTTAGAAAACCCCAAACCCCCAAAACCCCAAGCCCTAAAACCCAAACCAACTCCTTCGGCTTGAGGCCGATCCAGGTGGTTGGCAAGTGGGCCGGTGCCTTTGTCATCGTCGGGTAACATTTTACAATGTTGAGGGTACTTAGGCCCAACAAGGAATATAATGTAAATTTTTCATACTATCCCAACCATGAACTAGGTGCCCTGACGGGGTCCGTTGAAGTGCGGGGGCGCCTCGCAGGAGGCGAGACATGGAGCTTCGCAGTCGACCTTGGTGCACTGAACGCAGTAGAGGTGCCCGCGGTCCGGTTGCTGTGGGCACGCTCCCGCATAGCAGTGCTGTCCGACTATGCAGCTGTGGCAGTGCTGTCCGACTATGCAGCTGTGGCCCAGTCTCACGACGCTCTTGAGTCCGAGATCACGCGCCTGGGGCTGCAGTACTCTTTGATGACTACCTACACGTCTTTCGTGGCTGTGGACTCCCAAGCCTCTCGCCCGGACATGTGCACCGAAGTCGGCTCTGGCTATGGCTATGGCTATGGCTATGGCGATGGATGGCCGCCCCCGAGCAGAGCATTTCACTCCGAGCCACCCCTTGTCATGATGCTCGCTGCTCTCTTGTTTGGCCCTGGGTGGCTCTGAAATGCTCTGAATCCCTAAACCCTAAACCCTAAACCCTAACCCTAAACCCTAAACCCTAAACCCTAAACCCTAAACCCTAAACCCTAAACCCTAAACCCTAAACCCTAAACCCTAAACCCTAAACCCTAAACCCTTGAGAACTCAGCAATTTTCAGTAGCTTTGAGCATGTACAGTCGCGTGAACTCCTGGGATGCGCACCACGACATCTTGTGAAGGCCATAGCTTACCCTTTTAGGCTCAAGATAGGCCCCAAAAGCATTATGTAAGAAGGCCTTTGGGCCCAAAAACTAGGGTTTAGGGTTTAGGGTTTAGGGTCCTAAATAAGAGTCCTTAGAGCCTTAGGGTGAGATTTCCTCGCAGCCCACACTGTTTAATCTTCAGGCAGTGCTAAGCACCGTTTGATGCGTGCCGGCTGCGTGGCATGTTCAGTCAGCCACAACATGCTGGTTGGAAAATGCTGCACTTGCAGTCTTGCTGCGCATGTTATTAAATTGCGATTAATCATCTTATTGTCGTGATTGTGTGAAGTCTTATGAAGTCGCAAGCCACGATGCCGGCATATGCCGGCATCCGATGAGTGGGGCATGACATGAGTGCCTTCTGTAAAACTGTATGAACTGAATATGTCAAGTTCGGGACGCAATGAAATATGAGAACTGTCTTTCCGAAGCGTTCCGAGGTCGCGTACATGATGACTGAAAGAAGTCTTTCTCTTTCTCTCTCTCTCTCTCGATGTGAACGTCGCGTGTACAGCTATAGCGATTTCCGACACATGCACCCACGGATCGAAGAGGTTAGCGGTTAGCATGTGTTGCTCCGAAAGTTCATCCACTGATTTTCATGTCTTCCCGATGCGCACGTCTTTGAGAGCTTCCGACTTCGTTTGACCTCGAGTGACGCAGCAACAAGAAAGGTCTTCACTGATACCAGCACTTGTGAATCCTCTGGCACCCCGTGCCGGAAAACCCTCTGCCGAACTGGCTCTTCGCACAAGTGAACACACCCACCCAACCCCCTTCCCCAACCTACCCCAAGCCAACCGTCCCAGAATCGCACGGCCGTAGTGGAATTTTCGTCGGAACGCTCACGCCCAAAATCGCTCTAAAATGCATTTTCGGTCGATGCACACTTGCGGCCCTGAGGCTCCAGAGCTGCTTTTCTGGCGCGTTTTGGAATGCAGATTCGCAAATGTGATCCTGTTGAGATTCATTCTTGCTGGCTGTGGATTGCCTTCAGAGGGGGCGGGCGACCCCTGTAATAGAGAGAGGCGTATATCTCCTTCCCCACCTGGTTGGCAAGGTTGCCGAGTTTCGCAAACCACCCTCCGACCAGTTGTCAACTTCTGTGCACCAAGGGGGCGTCCCCTCCAAGCCGGGTTTTCAATTTGAAGAAGCCCCCCTTCTTCAAGCCCCCCTTGAAGCCCCTCAAAGCCCCTTCAAATTAAATTTGAGAAATCCAAAACTCAGATTTCTCGAAGGGGGCTACAAGTGTGTAGTATAATCCTCAACCCCATTCCCCCATAGACTATAGTGGAGTAGAGTAGTGCAGAGTGCTTGTCGCAATGTTCTGGCCGGCTAGAAGCATCTACTCATGAGCTACACAGTGCCCGCCGATGTATGCTAAAGCGCTGTGCTGGGCGCAGCGGTATAGCCGCCCAAACCCCTCAACCTCCGAACAGCATGGTGCAGAATCGCAAGTCGGAGTAAAGATAGATTTCAGGCATAGTTCAGTGCACACAGTACAGTCAACCCTTATCTCTTTCGACCATTTTCGACCCTAAACCCCTAAGCCCCCAACACCCCTAAACTTCTTTAAAACCTAGAAGCCCTAAACCCTTCTAAAGTTGTAATGATTTTTACTTCCAGGGCCCCTGCTGAGCAAGATGTCAGAGTTTTGGGGTTGAGATGGGTCTTGGGGTAATGGGAAGTCGTGTGTAGACCATGTTATGCTTTAGTGTCTTGCCGAATGCTTACGGGCTGGGTGGTCATGGGAGTCTAGTCAGCATTGCAGGAGCTCTTGACGGGAGCATCCTGAGCCTTTCTTTGGCTGGGGAGCAACATCCAAAACAGTTTTTGCTACTGCTAGGGGTTATCGACCCAGGGCTGCACCTTGGGGAATGCTGCGCAACACAAAATCCTACACAGCACATGTTTTCTACACAGATTCAGATTGTAGCTGCTAGGAGGAGTGTTTGTTCATTCGGAACGTGATGTTGAACTATATGTCAGGGCGGTTTGCTCCTTTCTTCCCCCCCCCCCCCCGCACTTTGCCTACTATTGAACAATCTCCACCGAAAAGAATACTTGATCCATTGCTAAAGGAATTAATTCCTTTTTGAAAAGCTTTGGTTTTGGTTTTTCTTGCAGGCTTCTAGGGTCCTGGTTGCCATTATGAGGGCTCTGCGAGCATAGCGCTGAATATTGGGGGGCCTTCAATGATGAGGACAAGTGACTCCTTTGTGTACTGCATCGCAAAAACAGATGAATTTCATTCTACTACACTACGACATTCGGTACTTTGCTGCCGTACTGTGTTCTCTGAGGGTAGACGAGAATATAGGCCTTGCTCGACACCCAAACGACCCAAGTCCGAGGCCCGACACCCCAGCATTCATTGTACTTTCCAAAGCCATATACTCTAAACCCTAAACCCTAAACCCTAAACCCTAAACCCTAAACCCTAAACCCTAAACCCTGAACAGTTGAGATCACGTGCATTATGGGGTTATGAGTCTGGGGGCTCTAGGTCCTTCTCAGCCCCAGGCCCTCAAGTACAAGAAATCATAGTCCTAAACCCTGGACCCTAAACCGTACGCCCTAAGCCGGTGTATGCCGCATGGATTTTCGGATTCCAGGTGGAGGGTTTACGACCCCTGAAGCCCGAAGCCTTAAGCTGAAACCCGAAATCCCCAGCCCGAACCCTGAGACAGATACCCAGAACCTTAGGGTTCTGCTGCTTTTGTTTGTTTTTTTTTTTTTTGGGGGGGGGGGGGGGGGGTTGGGGTTTTAGTGTTTTAGGGTTTGGGGTGTGGACATGCTCCGCGCACCTTCGGCGTCACTGCTCACGGTGGGATGCACCATCACGTCTTATGCAAGAAGCTGGCCTTGTGAGGCGGGGAGTTCGGGGGAGGTTGAGGACTCGATTTGATGGAGACATCAATACTGCCGCGAGAGCAAGAAGATGTCTATGGAAGGAATGGCAGGAATGTTGCCTTTGTCACGTTTTTGGGAGGAGCTCGAGCGACGACCGTTGCGGAAACGTACATTGCCATGACCGGCCCATGGAGGTTGCTCGCCGGTTCGCAATGTTCGCTGCTTTGATGTATGCTACTCTTGGAATCATGCCTCAATTTTAGATTGCCGCCGTGATTTTGAGCGGGCACTCGCTCAGTGTAGCTGTGGTCCATACAGTAGCAAGGCGCATCTGCAACATGCAACATGAATCCAAGCCGTCCACACCGTGTACCGTGTGCTAGAGATTCAAATGGCACGAATACTCTTCCAAGCCAACGTCCAAAGCTTAAACTGAAGACCAATAGCCGCCAATAGCCCGTTCACATCAAAAGCATGGATCGTTGCTTTAGTCGTTTGAGTTCCGTACCGACCTTCAATGCCGTGTACTTTTTGACGGCTGCTGTTCCACAGCATCTTCAAAGACGGCCACTGTGGCATCTTTCCACATCTCCCCGTTCACGCGTAGTATCCCGTGAAACAGAAGGGCGCATAGGGCACATAGCAGGTGAAGTGCAGGCCCTCCAGCCGCATGCTGTCTGAACTACGTGTCGGAGCCGGGTGAATTTGCCGATTTGCCATGGGGTTGCAGCCCTTGCCGGACCTGGTGCTTTGGCTCAAGTTCTGCTGCTTCAGTCGAACGGTGGTGGACAGATACATGACAAGATATGACAGGCCTGCCCTTCCTGGATTGAGGTCACAGAAGCATACAGAATCGCACAGCTGACGGTGTGATAGCACTGTGTTGCAGCACCTGCGGCTGAGTCTGCCCATGCCAAGATGGCCAGGCCCTTAAGATAGGATGCGGTGGGTCAAAGCAGTTCCGCTACATCGCCTGCAACTTTCGTTGCATGCGCGTCTGATCTGTGGGCGCTCAGATGTGCTGGCTGCTGTCCTGTATTCTGGAAGTTCCGAGGCCACCATCCCGAGTTCTGACGACCCCGAGGACATGTCCGAGCACCTGCACAGAGCTCGCAGGGGCTAATGGGGGGTCTTTCCTCATTCCCTTTACGGAACTCTTTGCTTCGGCCCCTTTAAATGCTTTCCCCTCATTGCATCCTGCATAATCCATGAGCTGGTAGCTCGCCCGACTGCTCCTCTGCTACGACGTTTGCGCAATTGCCTTGTTCAGGAGGTTGCAGAGGCGGTGACTGTGCTGGTGCGGCAGAGTCTGCACGAGGAGGATGATTCTTTCAAGGGTTTAGGGATTAGGGTTTATAGGGTTCAGGCGAAATCTGTTTTGAAATTTCTGAAGCGCTCGCCTTTCCAGAGTTCTCCGGCTGTGATTGTTGGCAAATTCGCTCGCAAGTTTCGGCAACAGAGCAAAGCTCACCTGACGAGTAGCGAAAGTACCTGTGAGCAGTTTACAGGGCGTGTTGACGAAATCGAAAGCAAGGACTGCTCTCAGCTCCTTGCATAGAATCACCTGAGATCTGCAAGTAGACACCGTAGCAGAAGGTTGAGAAAGGGTTCCATAAAGTTCCATACCTCCACATCATGGGCAGCCATGGTAACCCCAGGGATGCAACGGAGGCAGACATTACGGATGACGTGCCGAGCAGCTCGCGACAACTGAGCGCTTGGCTGCGGCGCACACGGCAGAACAAGATCCGCAAGGTGGTTCGCGAGGTGGCGGGGCGGTTCTAAGATGCTGTTCCGGTCCTTTTTTTCGGTTCCTTTTTTTTGGGGTCCGATTAGAAAACTTACATTCCTATACTATACCCTGAGGTGTATTTGAGGGATGACATCGTCCCGGAGCCCTTCGAAGGTGCAGATCAAGTGCTGATACTGGACACCAACATTGTGCTGCATCAGATCGATCTGATCGCCGAGGATGAATGCGTGAACCACGTGGTGGTTCCCTACACGGTGTTGCAGGAGGTCAGGCACAGGAACATGGGGATCTACGCCCGGCTTCGAGCACTCTGCCGCGTGGAGACAGGGGATGCCAAGCAGGACCAGGTGGTCGAGGCAGAGCTCAATGAAGAGCCCGCCCCTCCCAGCAACGCGAGGAGGGGTGTGGGAGATCGTGAGAAAGCAAAGGAGATGGCATCAGCCAGGAATGCGCGCCAGTTCTACGTGTTCCCCAACGAGTTCTTCCGAGAGACGTACGTGGAGCGCGCCCCGCACGAGTCGCAGAATGATCGGAATGATCGGGCAATTCGGAGGGTGGCCCACTGGTACCGGCGCCATATCGTTGGCCCTGAGGTCCTTTTGCTGACAGACGACCGCGCCTGCAAAGCCAAGGCTCTTTCGGATGGGCTGGTGGCTTTTCGAGCGGCGGAGTTTGTGGAGAGGATGCGCGGCAAGTTCCCCGAAGCTGGTGAAAAGCTGGCCCTTCGGGATGACGATGCCGAGATGCCGGAAGCCAATGAAGTCGGGGCGGCGGCTGCCCTGGCCTCCAAGTCCTCGCCTGCAAGCACTCCACGTGGCGTGAAGCGGAAGGAGGCCCTTGTCAAGTCAGCAGATGGCTCGGTGTACCCGGCCCACCTGAAGGCCAGCGAAGTCGAGCGTGGCTTGAAGGAGAGGCGTCTGTTTCAGGGTGTGCTGCGTATGCACATGAACACCTGCATGCATGGCAGCGTGACATGCAGTGGGACAGAGGAGGTGGAGGTGTCGGGCCGGCTGGCTCTCAACCGGGCCATTGACGGTGACGTGGTGGTGGTGGAGAAGATGGAGAGTGTCGAGGCCCTGGAGCGAGCGGATAAGCGCCTGCGCCTGGAGGTTGCCGACCCCGAGTTCGGAGTCTCGGGTGCGGCCCCCTCCGCAACGGATGAGCTCAAAGAGATGCAGGCACAGCCCGCCCAGATGGCGCAGACGGATCGGCCCAAGGGCCGCGTGGTGGGCATCCTGAAGCGCAACTGGCGCGAGTACTGCGGCACCTTGAGGCCCCTGCACGCGGAGCGCCAGAAGGAGCACGGCCCCGGGACGTACAACAAGTCCGACCGGGTGTTCATTCCGGCTGACGCGAGGCTGCCAAACATCATGATTCAGACCCGGCACTCGGCGAACTTGGAGAACAAGCGCATCGTGGTGGTGCTGGATGGCTGGGACCGGTTCAGCCATCATCCATCAGGGCACTGGACCAAGATTCTGGGGGATGTCGGCGACAGGTCCGTCGAGAGCATGGTGATCCTTCATGAGCTCGGGCCCCAGGGAAGGGCGGTCCACCAAGTCAGATTCAGGTCCCTGAACCGCTGGACTCCCCAAAGCTCCCCAAAGCTCCCAAAAGCCCCCAAAACCCCAAAACGCCCCCGGAAGCCTCCTCCCAAAAGAGCGAGCAAGAACAGCAGGCATGGAGTCATCACGCGCGAGTTCAGTGAAGCCGTGTACCGGTGCTTGCCTTCGGCCGACTGGCAGCCGAGTGCTGAAGACCTGCAGGGCAGCCACGCGGTGGAACCAGGGGGGGCGAGCTTAGGGCTGTAAGCTCCGAAACCTCAAGCAACAAAAGCCCCTAAAGCCCCTAAGCCCGATTTTTCCTACAAAGGGTTCGGGGAGCTCGGACATTTGGAATCAGGGTTTATGGTTTGAAGGCTTCAGAGTCATGTCGAGTGTGCGAGTTTGCAGATTTCGGGTTTCGGGGCCATGTGAAAAGTGAGAGCAAACCCCACACACCCTACATGAACCCTTTTAACTCTACATCGTAACCCTTACACCCATGACCCTCAGACCCTAAACCCTAAACCCTAACTCAAAAACCCTAAGCCCTAAACCCTAAACGCTTAAACCCTTACACCGAACGGTCAGAACCTTTTGTCCCGCTGTGGCCGACTCTGGGAGCTGAGATCTGCCCCCCTGAACCCCTGAACTCTGTGACCCTTAAACCCTTGAACCCGAACCCGCTAAAGCGGGCTTTAGGCTTTAGGGTTTAGGGTTTAGGGTTTAGGGTTAGGGTTGAGGGTTTAGGCCTTGAGCCCTCTTAACTCTCCAACTTTCCGAGAAGCTTTGAAAGTCTTTAGGCTTCAGGGCCTGGAGGGTTGAGGAGTGTTAACACGACTGAAGGGTCTTGTGTTTGCTGGGAGTCCCAGAGCTCGAAACCTTTTCAACATCAGGCACAGCCATCTTGGGTTGAGGAAAGGGTTTGGACTGCCTGATTCATCAGAATTTTTGGGTTAGGGTCGGAGGGCTGGATGTACCCTCGCAATCATCACATCACTGCGTCGACAAAGGAGAGGACCTCCGAAATATCTGCGTTTGCTCCGTGGACCCTCCTGGTTGTGGCTTGACTGCAGTTGGCTTTTCAGGGTTTAGGGGACCCTAAGCCCTGAACCCTAAACCCTAAACCCTAAACCCTAAACCCCAAACCCCAAACTCTAAACCCTAAACCCTAACCCCTAAACCCTAAATCCTCAACACACCCAACTAAGCATTCCACCAAGGCAAGGACATCGACGACGCCGTCTCGTGCGAGCCGTTGCTGAACGGAAACTACCGTGTCTGCGCCCCAGTGGGGATCTAGGGTTTGGGGTTTAGGGTTTAGGGACCTCCCCATAGTCAAACCCTAAACCCTAAACCCTAAACCCTAAACCCTAAACCCTAAACCCTAAACCCTAAACCCTAAACCCTAAACCCTAACAGAGCAGGTTGGCGTCCACATCGCCGACGTGACGAACTTCGTGCACCCCGGGACTGCAATCGACAACGAGGCGGCAGAGAGGTGCACCACGGCGCCTCGGCAGAGTGCAATGAGGTACCCTATGTAATTCCTTAAAGGGTATATATAGGGGGATATAGGGTACCTCATATATGTAAGTCCTTAGAGGGTATATATAGGGGGATATAGGGTACCTCATATATGTAATTCCTTAAAGGGTATATATACGGGGATATAGGGTGCCCTATGTAATTCCTTAAAGGGTATATATAGGGGGATATAGGGTACCTCATAAACCCTTTGAGTTGAGAAGCCATGTACGGACGGGTCAAGCAAGCCAAGTTTCGGGATCTGAGGGTTCCTCTCTCCCTCAAGCCCTTGTTGAATTTGACAAAGCTCCCAAAAGGCCCCCAAAGCCTCCACCAAACTTGCCAGCCGGTTTTGACTTCAATGGCGGCTTGCTTGCGAGGTTTACCTAGTGGAGCGGCGCACGGACATGCTGCCAGGCAGGTCGGATGTTCTGAAGTACGGCTTCTAGACAGGGATTTTGCAGGGGTTACGTGTCTTCGGGCACTTTCGGCTTTTCGGTGGGGCTCCACTCAAAAACCCCCTTAAGGCCCTAAGGTGCTAGGCGTTCGCGGCGAAAGTCCTGTGCAGGTCTGCTTACCACCGACATCTGCTCCCTGCGGGCCCAGGCTGGTGCACCCAACATGCGAGATTGTTCAAGAAGATGGCGCTAAAATAGAACAGCCCCACATGAGCTTAGGGTTTAGGGTTTAGGGTTGCGGCCGCAGGTGGAGCGCCTAACCTTCTCAGTGCTTTGGGAGATGACGCCAGATGCAGAAGTTGTGGACACGAAGTTCTGCAAGGCAGATTGCGGTCTCAGGGTGCTTTCCTGGGCCGAAGTCCTAAAGCTACCGAAGGAACCTATAAAGCCTAGACCCCAAACCCTAAACCCTAAACCGCAAAGTCCCAAAGATCCGTACCACGGAGTGCTTCTTTTCTTTTTAAATGTTGTTTTTGTATTTTTCTTTTCCAAACCCATCATACGATTTTTGGATTTTCAAAGCGGGGGGGGGGGGGAGTTGGGGCGCCCCCACCGCCCCGCTCTTTTCAACCGTGCAAGCCTGCTTCAAAGAATGTTGTACCATCAACTTGCATTCCTTCAAAACCCATATGAGTCCTTGCGCCACCGGGGCTGTGCAAATGGAGCGGCTGCGGCCCCCACCCCACCTCAACGCCCCCCAAGCTTGCTTCCAAGAATGTCGGGCCATCAGTGAACAATCCTTCAAAACCACATGAGTGCTTTCCAAACCAATGGCGCCTGTTTTTCAAGGCGTGGAAGCCTCAACAGAAATAAAAGGCTTTCCGCGAGAACCCTTCAAGGTGTCAAAGCCCACAACAAATGCAAAACACCTCTTCAATCACGTGAAATCACGATGCAAAAGGCACAAACAAAAGCCGAGATGAATCAACGTTGGCCTTCCAAACTGGCCGCTTACTTTTGTCACAACCGACCCACCCTGTAATGCGGCCCAATAACACGACATACAGGGGTATCTTTGAGGGTTTCACAGGGAGCTTGAGTCATAGATCGCGGCCTGCATGAGTGTTCGTACGTCTTGTCATCTCAAGCACGTGCTCTGGAGACCTCCGCGGACCGGGATTGCTCCATGAGCGCATGTTGCTCCAACTATCGGTTTGGGGTTTAGGGTTTAGGGTTTCTTCTCTCGATCGCGTGTTTTGGGTAGCTCTTGAGATCCAGATCGCGATCTGTATGACGCATGTTTCCTCAACATTTGGATTACGCGGGGATCTTGAGTTATGGATCGCGGTCTGCATGAACGCGTGTTCTTGCTTCCTTGGCGCCAAGCCCTTAAACCCTGAAGCCATGAACCCTAAACCCCAAACTCTTAACCCTGAAGCCCTCTATCCCTGAACCCTAAACCCCCAAACCCGTAAATCCTAAACCCCTCAACCCTAAACCCCTAAAACCTAAACCCCTAAACCCCTAAACCCTAAACCCCTAAAACCTAAACCCTAAACCCTAAAACCCAAACCCTAAACCCTAAGCCCCCAATTGCGACTGGAGGCGATCATCAAGTCCCGCGCAGCCCTCTCCTACGCAGAGGCGCAGGGGAGGATTGACGACCCGAAGGCCGGACCTTATCGGGGTGTAGGGTTTCGAGTTTAGGGTTTCCAGGGCTTTAGGGTTTAGGGATTAGGGTGATTGGGTTTTTAGGGTTTAGGGTTAGAGCGTTCAGGGATTTTTTACACTTATCAAACAGCACATCGTTGCTTTCGCTTCATCGATCCGACCAATACGGGTTGTTGAAGCATACAACCCAAGACTCCTCAACGGGTTTAGGGCTTAGGGTTTAGGGTTGAGGGTTCAGGTTTAGGGTTTAGGGTTGAGGGTTTAGGGTTTAGGGTTTCGGGTTGAGGTAATACCCCAAGCCCCCTGAGCCCCAAAAGCAACGCCATGTCGCAGGACAACTCGGAGATCACGCGCATCCTCAGGCTCCGGGGGGAGGGTTTAGGGTTTAGGGTTTAGGGTTTCGGGTTTCGGGTTTTAGGTTGAGATTCAGGGGAACTCCGCCCCGTGCTCTGCAACACCCTCACCTTCGACACCAAATGCCGTTTAGGGTTGAGGCTCCCTGTCCTGATGCAGAATCTCAGAAGCACGACATTGCCCAGACCCCGAACTCTAGAACCCAAGTTCTCAGAACCCCAAGCGTTAAGCTCTTTGAAGCTTCAAACTGCTAACGTCCCTTTTTGAAGCCCGGAGCTCTAAACCTTCAAAGGCCACAGCCCTGAAACGCCCCGCCCCAAAAACGCAAACACAAAACCTGACCTCCCTAAGCTGTTTGCAAAACTTGCTCCAGCGCAGGACACTGCTGAAGCTTACCCGAGAAATTCGGGCGCGCCGCGTGGACAAAGGTGCCCTTGAGTTGGCCTCGCAGGAGGCTCCAGGGCTACCTAGAGGGCTTTTTAGGGTTCTTGCATGTTCTATTCAAGGGTTTCAGCGGGTATTGAGTTTCCCTAAATTCGGACGAGTGTGTAAGCCCAAATGGGCACAAGAGGATTTTGGTGGCTGCGGCTTCGTTGTGCGGGCTCAGCGTCCAAGGCTCAGCCTGCAAGCAAAATCTGAGATAAGGGAGGATGCAGGAAGTCCTGTCTTCCCCCAAACCCCAAACCCCAAACCCCAAACCCCAAACCCCAAACCCCAAACCCCAAACCCCAAACCCCAAACCCCAAACCCTAAACCCTAAACCCGAAACCCGAAGTCCAAGATGTCTTTTGGCTTGTTAGCCTTGCATGGCGGCGGTCGCAGAGTTGTTGCTGGCAGGTCCGCTTTGAGCTGGACAGCGAGACACAGGACGGCCGGGAGTTGAGTTGGCTCAAAGCCCCAAACCCTGAAATGGTCAGCTCTCTCATTTGGGTCCCTCTTTGGGTACCCTACATAATAGGGGCTGCCTCATAATAAGGAGCCCAAAAGGAACCGTATTTTCGAGACATGCCCAAAACCTCAGTCAAACAACAGCAACTTGAACCCTTATAGCTCGCTAACTTCCATGTCAAGGATCCCACGGACGTTGCCGAATACCAGCAGCGTGAAACCAACAAGCTGATCGAGGACTCTGCGTGAGTTGCTTGCTAGGCCACCTGGGAGCCACTACATAGCCATGGAAATTCAGAGAAGTGCTGACCATGTGATCGGCTGACTTGCTCACAGATGGCTCGGTCTTCTTGAGTCTCCCAAACTTAACCTTAGTTGTGTCGTCTGAAAGGAACGATCTTCAGAGAGTCTCAAGTTGAGCGTTGGGCCTCCGAGCCATGGAAGCCCTTCGGACGGCTCTGCGCCAGGGGCCCATCAACATCGGCGTCACACTCTTCGATGAGTACGAGATGTTGGACGTTTTTGGGCCCCTCGAGCTGCTGGCTGGCTGTGGAATTCTGCCCGGGCCAGCTCGGGGCAAGATCAAGCTGTGCTTCATGTCTTTGGAGCCCTCCAAAGCCGTGAGGCCCAAGGACGGGCCTCTTACCATGACGGATCTTTGCATCGACGAGCCTTGCAAGGCGTTGGACGTTCTCTTCATTCCGGGAGGCATGGGCACGCGTAGGTTGTGCAAGGACATGAAGTTGAGTGTGAAACTGAAAGAGTTGGCCGAAAAGGCATCTGTTGTAATGACGGTCTGCACCGGCTCCCTGCTCCTGGCGTCTACTGGGCTCCTGGACGGCAGGTCAGCTACCAGCAACAAGTTCGCCTTCGATTCGATCCAGGCTGCCTATCCTCGAGTCGGGTGGAAGCGCTCGGCGAGGTGGTGCGTGGACGGGAAGTTCTATACGTCCTCTGGCATAGCTGCCGGCATCGACCTTACGCATTCCTTTATCGAAGAGCTCTTTGGCCCCAAGCTCGCAAAGCAGACCTGCAAGCTGGCGGAGTACGTCCACCAGAGCGACCCCGACAACGACCCCTTTGTCGCTGCGCCTCCGCCCTTCACGCCCAAGAACTCCCTCGGCCGAACGCTCTCTTTGGTGCTGGTGGTCTATGATCAGCTACATGTCCTTGTATTATGCCTTAATGTTTTACCTCTTTCCCCCCCCCCCCCCAACCCCTCCCTCGGAAGGGCAGGTGGATCCTGCACGCCACCTCCCTTGCCGTAAGACTTCACCCCTCATAAGAAGAGTCCAGGCCACTGAAATTCAAAGGCGGCAATCCCAGGCCAGGCCTTTGAAGTCCAAACCCCTTGAGCCTTAAGATTTTGAAGGGGCTGTTGCCTTTAAGCACCAAGGGGCCAGAGGGCCGTGGAATCCAGAGCCCCTCAGGTTTACGGTTTGGGGTTGAGGGTTCAGGGCCCCGAAACATTTTCCATCATGCAGGGCAGGGGCCGGTCCTGGACCCCCTTGCCGGATTTATCGGGAAAATTTTTCGTATGCTTTCTTTTCTTTAGTGGGAATTCATGATGTTGCATCGGCTGGGATTCCGAGTGTTGGGGTCTTGGAAAGGAGGCTTGACCTCTTTTGGCTTTCAGAGTTAAGGTCAAACCAACCGACACACAGAATGGACACAACCCGGAGAAAAAGAGGACCTTACCGGGCAAGCCCCAAAGAGTCCCGAAATCCTAACACGGCCGGAAAACTCGACTTTATGGAAGGGGCCACTTCAAAAGGTGGCACAATGCACCCCAGATTCCCCCTTCAAGCTAGACGAAGGCTTTCGGATCATCCTGACCCCAAACACACTGAACCCTAGACCTTAAGCCCCAAGCCCCAAGCCCCAAACCCCAAACCCCAACCCCTAAATCCTAAACTCTAACCCTAAACCCTAAACCCTAAACCCTAAACCCTAAACCCTAAACCCTAAACCCTAAACCCTAAACCCTAAACCCTAAACCCCAAACCCTAAACCCTAAACCTTAAACAACACCCTAAGCCCCAGAGGCCCCTCCAACCCACCAACAAAGGTTTGAGATGCTGGACACCTTCGGACCGCTCGAGATGTTTGCCATGACCAATAAGGCCAGGCCCTCTCTTTATGGGCGCTCAGGGTTTAGGGTTTAGTTAGGGGTTAGGGTTCCTGTTGTAGGGGTTCCTAGAACAAGGAATACAGGGTTCAAGGGACATAGTAGGGCATCTGAATCTAGCAGGGCCCCGTAGTATACGAGCTTCCGCAAAGTAGGGGACCTTGATTTGGGGAATTGGACATATTGAGGTCCTGGAGTCGGGCGGCGAGGATCCTGCATTCAAGCTGACCGTGGTCGCGGAGGACAAGAGGACCTCGTCCTTTGGGGGCCCCGTCTTTGAAGCTGACGTGGCCGGGCCCCCAGCTGCAGTGTACTCGCGGGGTTCTACTCCCGTAAAAACCCCCACATAAATGCATCCCTCGCTGTATGAATGAAGTTGGGAGCCCGCTAAACCCAAATCTTTACAGTCCCTGAGGTGGTTGGCACCGGTGCATCGGACGCAGGCTTGAGCTTCCACGGCTCGCTTCCTGAGAAGATTGACCTGCTACTGATGCCGGGAGGCATTGGAACGATCCGTGAGGTGCACAACCCGCTGTTTCAGAAGGCTATCACGGACCTGGTGACCCGATCCCAGCGGGTCATGACGGTATGCACAGGCAGTGCGATTCTGGCCTCGCAGGGCTTGCTCGATGGGCGCCGTGCTACTACGAACAAGATTGCGTTTGACCTCATGGCTCGATTTGGCCCAAGGGCTAGCTGGGTGCCAGAGGCTCGTTGGGTCTCGGACGGTAAGTTCTGGACCTCTAGCGGTGTCTCAGCAGGAACGGACCTTTCTCTGGTATTAGTTCGAGAGCTCCTGGGGCGAGACATGGCCATACAGGTCGCGCATCGTGCAGAGTACATCTGGCAACCAGATGACGATGGTAGCCAAGATCCCTTTACTGGATGCATACCAAAGCAGACAGTCGGCCAACGGCTGTTGACGTATGTGCAGAAGGCCGTGATCCAGTTCGTGTTCTGTTTTGGCTTTGCCTTGGGCTGCAAAATGCAGATAACACGCAGTCTCATTTAATCATCGTTTAGACTCGAGACTCGAGACCAGACCAGTGGATTGTCACGTGCGTCGCTCAAGAATCAGCCACAGGTGCTCTGCCTCCGTCCAGTGTGTTTGTCCTGGCAACGGTAACCACATCACTAAGCCCAAACACCTTACTAGCTCTTAGTAGAGAATTCGGGAACCTTCTACCCGCCCCTGGCAGCCCTTTAAGGGACTCTGGACGGCGCCTAATTCCTCATTCCTTAGCCAGCGCAACCAATCTCATGTAGCCTAAACCCAAAAGTCGCCGGACGGCAAGCACGAAGCGCACTTTTTCGACAGCCTTAACCTTAAACCCGAAACCCTAAACCCTGAACCCTGAACCCCTTAACCCCTAAGCCCTCAGGAGCTCATGTTGTTGGCAAACCAGGCCTTGGGAGCTTGCATGGGGGGGGATCGGTGTCTTGATTGGTCTCCTTGTCGTGCATGCTAAATCTATCTGCCCATATTCGAATGGGTACATTCGAATGCGCCCAAGAAAGGGACCCTAGAGGCGTGATTGTCGACGTGGATGGTCAACCCTAAGCCCTAAACCCTTAACGGCCCTAAACCCCAAAACCCTTACGAGACTTCCCCATCCTTGCACTTGCAAGGCTGTGGCCACGAAGATCCTGAACAGCTTCCCGATGTTCGGAGTTCTTCGGCGACACCCGCCGCCGAAGGCGCAGAGCCCCCAAAAAGGTTGGGGGGGGGGGGGGTATAAGGGGGGTAGAAGGGTGGTGTGAGGGGGTATAAGGGAGGGTAGAAGGGGGGGTTTTCGGTTGAGGTCTTTCAGAAGATACCGGGGAGGTCGTCTAGGGGCTGAGGGGTTCATGGGATTTACTGTAGGGCTTTGGGGGGTTTCCAGACAGCTCTGGATGGAGGACGAGCAGCTGAAAGTCTTGCAGAAGCTGCTGGCAAAGAACGGGATCAGCGACTTCAAGTTCGGCAGCAATAAGGACGGAGTCGGCTGCTTCTTTGGGGGAGGGGTTCGGTGGACCCTGAACCCTAAACCCTAAACGTCCCTAAACGCTACTTTTTGTAGGTTCTCTATAAAAATTCTACAAGAGTTTCTAACTTTATAATAGGAACCTGCAAAAAAAGATAGGTTTTGGGTTCTTAAGATAAGCTCCCCAAACCCTAAAACCCTTAGAGATGAGACCCTAAACCCTCACCCTAAACCCTAAAACCCCTAAACCCTAAAATACCTTGAGCCCCAAGCCCTATAGGAGCTTTCTGAGTCGCTTCAGAATGCGGTGAAGCCGGAGGAGCGCCCCTGCATCGTAGCTGTGTGGGGCCCTTTTAGTTTGGGTTGTGGGGATTCGGGGGTTTAGGGTTTAGGGTTTAGGGTTTAGGACTTGGGGTTTTAGGTTCTGGGGTTACTTTCGTGGTTTGAGGCTTGGGGTTCAGGGGTAAAGATACATGCAACGCAGCCCTAACCCCTGTTGCCCCCAGAGGTGCGGTGAGTCTTCGGGTTTCGGTTTTCGGGTCGCGCCCGAGACGTGATGCGCATTCCCTGCAGGACCCGTTCTTCAACACCTTAGTGAGGATTATGACCACGAGGCAAGACGCTCCGGTCCAGTCGGCTGCTGTTCCCCCTGCTCAATGTGCAGGTGCATGAACCAAGCGGTCTACTTCTGTACTGGCGAAGTGCAACCGGCACTCTATGGTCACTACGGGCTGGCGATGGAGCGCCCGCCACCCAGATATCCCGGCCTAGCCAGGATACATCATAGAATCCTTGATAGGGCACATGCATAGTCCGGCAGAAGGTCGATGAATTTCGTCTCCCTCGTTTGTTGTGTTTCACCGCCTAGGCTACACGCATTTCACGTCGCCCATTCGTCGCTACGCGGATGTCTTGGCACATCGGCTCCTGGCCGCCTCGTTGGGACTCATACCTCTGCCAGAACAGCTGCAGTCGAAGGCAAGTACGGCACTGAACTGGTGTAGAGCATGGCGGCTTTGCTAATTTTCGCAGGCCACGATCTCGGAACAATGCGACAAGATAAATGTGCCTCTTCCGCACTGGCACGGTCGTCGCGTGGCTCTTGCTCCGCTGGTCTTTGCCCGTTTTGGTTGTTTTGGATGTTTTGCTGCAGCAAAGGTGAAGCATCGCATGTCGCAATTCGCCAGCCGAGCATCTGCTGACTTGCACACCTTCATGCTCCTGGTCTTGGTTGCAGCCGTAGGGAGGGAGAGGATGCAGCCAGTGCTTTCAGAGAGATACCAGGCACGAAGTAGGGCGCTGCATATAGACTATACAGGGTGTGTGTGTGTGTGTGTGTGTGTGTGTGTGTGTGTGTGTGTGTGTGTGTGTGTGTGTGTGTGTGTGTGTGTGTGTGTGTGTGTGTGTGTGTGTGTGTGTGTGTGTTTGTATGTGTATATATATGTAAATATACATAGAGATAAAATGTATATGTATATGTGTATGTTGTCCAGGATTGTACGTAACTGAAGATTCGAAACTAACACCGCCTCACGTGTACTTCCGAGTGCCAGTGTCCAAGGTTCTTCAACAAGAAGGCCGCTCCGTGTGAATGGATCACATGGCTCGGGCTCGGGTTTAGGGTGTAGAGTTTGAGGGTTTACGGTTTTAGGGTGTAGGGGCTAGGGTTTCAGAACAGGGTTTCGGAACAGGTGTGGGGCCTGGGTTTTCCTTTTGCACGAGTTGGATTACATTTAGGCAGGGGACCGTTGTCAGGTGGAGGTTTTCTTTTGGCTAACAAAATTAGTGTCGACCACATCCAGAAGGCCTTTCCTGTGTTGCCTGTAGACACATCGAGATGGTTCACGCAACTCACCGCTGATAGTTGTCCGATTGCTGTCCCTCATTCTTTTCCAATAGGCATTCGACACAATAGCTGACAACACTGAACAAAGTTTGTCCGTCTTAAGTTCTAAGTTGCAGATGGTGTGCAATGTGTATGTGTATAGAAGGCAGCATGTGCGGCACACGCGTACTGGAGTTCGTGTCTGAGCATGAACTTATTTGATGCCAATCACAATGTCCTCTGACTTAGCCGGTTTTTGAACAGAACTTTGACATCAGAGCCTCCTCTTCCGTAGGGTTTCCTAAACCCTAAACCCTAAACCCTAAACCCTAAACCCTAAACCCTAAACCCTAAACCCGAGAGCCTCAACATCGAAGATTGCATGTTGCCACAAAACAGGTCTGGAGGGGAATTACATCCCGCCAATAGCTACGTGAATCGGGGCAAAATGGGTTAACCTTGTGTTGTGTGTGCTGTTTCTACAGGCTCCTGGATGAAAGCATGGGCCCCCGAAATGACACAAGAAATCGCCTTAGGCCCCACAGGAGCGTGTTCAACCCCAGGTCAAGACAATACAGTCGGGTGACATAGGGGCCCGAGGGTTTCAGAATGGCCAAACCCTTAAAACTTTGAGCCGAAACCCTCAATCCTAAAAACTCCCTAAACCCTCAACCCTCAACCCTAAACCCTGAACCCTAAACCCTAAACCCTTAAAACAACCCTTTGCTTGACAGGGCCAGCAGTCGGCAGAGGCGGTGGTCACCCGAATACGCCGCTCCGGGATGCAGGCCCTTGTCAGGGTTTAGGGTTTAGGGTTTGGGGTTTGGGGTTTGCTGTGATAATGCGTAGATGCTGTGAAGGTCAGGCTGTAGAACAAACTCGAAAGCTTCGTGAGGCGCGAAGAGCAGCTTTGGCCCGATTGTGGAAGGCCATCTAGCACTTTGCTCCCACCCCACGCCGTCCAAGGCGGCAAAGCCATTCCTTTTAGGGTTTAGGCCTAAACTCAGACGACAGTCCACTTCTAAACACTTCTTCCGAGGGGAGCCAAGGCGGCCGAGGGCTCGGAGGGGCCAAGGGGGCCAGGGGGTCCTTGGGCACGCAGCGGCGAGGGGTCCGTGGGCTGGGGTTCGGGCGCTACCCCCCCCCTGAAAAGGTCAGGGGCCCCCAGGATCATTGCCTTATTTTTCAAGTACTGGTCCGGATCGAGGTCGAAGGGCTTAAGCGCCGCCCCCCAAAGTAGGGGGGCGGCCCAGGCCCTGAGTTTCGGGTTTGGGGTTTGTGGACACCTCCTAGAGAAAGGGACGGCAGTCAAGAGCACTCAGAATGTGGGGGGCTGGTGCAAATGTTCTGTTGAGGGTTTAGGGTCTTCTGTTCGCGCAAGCCGGTGCATAAACCCCAGTCAACCCCCTACATTGCAAACCCAACAGCCCTAAAGCCCACAAGCAATTCAAGGTAAGGGTGACTTGAAACACCCCTCCCCCATGTTTGTTTTGTTAGGTTGAGGGTTCAGGTGTGTTTTCTTTTGGTCGGCGCCGGAAGTACTTACTGTGATCTGAGATACGGCACTTGTCGTCAATCATAACATAACTGTGTTGATTTTCAGCTTGAGCAGATCGAAACATCAAGAAGCTTGTTGTGTACTGGCTCTTCAATCTGTCTTGGGTTCCTTATTTTGCTTTCTGGCCTCTTGACTTCTTCATTTCTCAGCTTCTTGGGTCCTGAGCTCTTGGTACTAGTTGCATCTCAGACTTTCGCCCGAGTTGGTGGGGGAATTCTCGGTCTTGGCCTTTGAGCCTAGTGACCTAGTGGCTTCTCGACTTCTTTTTTCTTTCGGCTTTAGCTTCTCGGCCCGTGGCGTCAATGGAGAATACAGAAAGATGGGCTTGAGAAATGCGTCGGAGAGGCCAGAACGCTGCGCAACCGGCATTCTTGCTACAACAGAGGGTCCTGCATTTGCCGGCTGGCCATCGTGGCTCTGGTCTTCTGCCAAAAAGTCCGTTTTAGGGTTTAGGGTTTAGGGTTTAGGGTGTAGGGTTTAGGGTTTAGGGGCTGAATCCGGAGCTCTGCATGCAGCAAGCTGTGCAGGTCAACGTACCCCGCTACGGCATCGAAGGTGTCGTGGCCATGCCGGAGGCGGCAAACTCCGTTCATCAAGAGTTTGGGGTCGTCCATTTCTATTTTGTTTTTCGCCAGCTAACCCTAAACCCTAAACCCTAAACCCTAAACCCTAAACCCCTAAACCCTAAACCCTTAAACCCCTAAACCCTAAACCCTAAACCTCGCAGAATCCCTGAAGTCTTGCTTGGAAGACTCGGGTTCAGGGTTTAGGGTGTAGACGACGGTCGAGAGGACCACTCCTTAGAAACCTTGAATTGGGTAAGTTAGCACAACAACGGGGGCTCCAGTGTATGTAAAATTAGCTTCCTTTCTTATGCTAACTTAGAGGAAGTTCCTGAACAACGGCCCAGAAAACCCCCCCCCCTCAGTTGAGCATGAGTTCCCTACTGAGGATGGGCGGGGGAGACAAGTCCAAGCGCCCAAACTACAGAACAATGAAATCCCAATGAATTTGCAACGTCCTCACCCGAAGCCCAAGTACTAAGGCCCTAAACCGCTGAAGCCAAAGACCCCAAACGGCAAAACCTCGCAACAAGCCTCTATAGCTCTTCACCCCAAACCCTAAAACCCCTAACCCCTAATCCCTAAACCCTAAACCCTAAACCCTAAACCCTAAACCCTAAACCCTAAACCCTGAACCCTGAACCCTAAACCCTAAACCCTAAACCCTAAACCCTAAACCCCAAATCCTGAACCCTCGAAAGCCGAACATCCTTGAAAAGCCCGTAGAAAGCCGTCAGGAGGACTGGGAGGTCCGCGAGGAGGAGCAGTGCATCTTGTCCAAGAGCCAGGCGGCTCTTGCTTTTTTGTCTTGGCTTTAGGGTTTTGGGGGTCTGAGGTTTCAGGGTTTCAGGGGTTCAGGGTTTGGGGGAGTTGTTTTGGGGGGTTCATCTAGGTTTCACGCAGGGTTGCGCAGGTTTAGGGGCAAGTTTGGGGGTTCAAGGTGTAGGGCTTTGGAGGAAGAGGGCTCTTGGGCTGAGGGCATCGGTTTGGGGGTAGGGGTGCTAGCGTTTCGCGAAGCCCCAAACCGTAAACCCTAAAAGGTTTATTTTGTTTTTTGACTCTGGCTTTGCATTGTTTTTCCGAGAGAGGGTTATGGTTGAGGGGTCCGAAGCCCCAGCCCACAACCTAAGCCTGAAGCCCTTTGGAAGGCTGTCGTCTCCCCTGGTGGTATCCTAGAGGGTTTAGGGTGCTCAATCCCCTCCCAGAAGCCTTGCTTGCGCTGAGTTTCGAGATTTGGGGGGGGGGGGGGGGGGGGGGGGGGGGGGGCTGGGTTCCTACGTAGTTTCTTGAGGCGTTGTATAGGCGGCTATGAGGATTTTCCCTAAGTCGCCCCACTATCCCTAAACCCTAAACCCTAAACCCTAAACCCTAAACCCTAAACCCTAAACCCTAAACCCTAAACCCTAAACCCTAAACCCTAAACCCTAAACCCGTCATCCTAAACCCTACATCCTAAACCCTACATCCTAAACCCCACGAAGAACGAGTAAGAACCCTGGAGCTCCATGGGGCAGGCGGGTCTTCGGATCGACATCTTCGCACATATCAAGGCGGGAGAGGATGGAGTAGGGTTCAGGGTTTTTGGCATTTTTTTCTTTTAAAGGGTTTTTGGTCTTTTTTTGTTTTAAAGGGTTTTTGGGTTTTTGGGGTTTTTAGGATTTTTAGGGTTTTAGGGTTTTAAGGGTTTCTGGGGTTTTTAGGGTTTTTAGGGTTTTAAGGGTTTTAAGGGTTTTAAGGGTGTTAAGGGTTTTTAAGGTTTTTAGGGTTTTTAGGGTTTGTAGGGTAGCTGGGTGGGGGCGTGAGGCTGGTTCTGGGCTTTACGGGTTTAAAGGTGCAGGATTCACTGGGTTTGGGGTTTGGGGGTTCGGAGTTCAGCCCACTACACCCTGAACCCTGAAGCCCTAAATCCTAACAGGGCCAGGACCACAACGCCCTGCACCTGAAAGCCTGAGAGCGTGAAGCCCGAAAGAACGCACCAAACCCTGAATCCCCACGAAACCGGGAAACCCAAAAGAATCCAGAAAACCCTGAAAACCTTCGAACCCTGAAGCCCTGAGCCCTAACCCTGCAAAACCCTAACGGTCTCTAAACCGCATAAACCTTCTAAACCCTATAGACCCTAAACCCAAATCTTAAGCCTTGGAATATACTAACAGTCCTTATAGAGATAAGAGTACGGGGTACAAAAAATCCCTGTGAAGGAGTGTTAGTATAAGGGGGAACATCGCAATCCTAAACCCTCTAAACCCTATGCCCTACAACCCTAAACCTTAAACCCTAAACCCTAAACCCTCCCTAAACCTAAACCCAAAACCCTGAACCCTAAACCCTAAGCCCTCTAACCCCCAACCAGGTCAATATCGAGTCCGACAACTCGGACTTCCGGAACCGGACGCACATTCGCTTCGCGCCTTGCTGGCGGAGCCCTTTTGCCCCCATTTTTCGGGCCCCTAAACCCTAAACCCTAAACCAAAAACCCTAAACCCTAAACTCTAAACCCTAAACCCTAAACCCTAAACCCTAAACCCTCGTCTGCTCATGCACAGCAAAAGAACCGTCGCCTATCAGCCTACATTCCATGTGCTAAAAGCGTGGTTTTCGGGCGGCGTGCTTCCAAACTGCCTCGTTGTTCTCCTCAATCCTACTGGGGCTACTTTGGTGGCCAAGGAGCGTGTCATACAGGACTCTGAGCGTGCGGGAGCCCAGGGCCTGCTCTCAACTAGGGGATTCAGGGGCGAGGTTTGGGGTGTCGGGTGCAGGGTTTAGGGTTTAGGTGGGGGCATGGGGGGGGGGGGGGGGGGGGTTGTAGGGCTTAGGATTGAGGGTTTAGGTGTTCGGGGGCCTTCGTTCTCTCTTTTGTTCTTCATATGTTTTTCTGTTTGAGGTTTAGGCCCTCTCTCTCTCTCTCTCTCCCTCGCTTTGTCTCTCTCTCTCTCTCTCTCGCTCTCTCTCCCTCTCTCTCGGTATGGTTGTTTAGGGTGTAGGCTTTAGTTAGGGTTTGGGGTCAAACGCTTGAGGTTCACGGCTTTCTATTTTGGACCTAAACCCTAAACCCTCAAGCCTGGCGTAAGTTGCAAGGCTCAAGCGTCGATCAGCCGAACATATCCCCAGAACCGCACCTAGAACCTAAACCGCGCATCCTGCATCGACCCACAACCCGATTAGTCAAAAAGAACCCTAGGACTTGAAGGCCCCCATACCCCGAAGCCCCAAACCCTTAACCCTACCAAGCCCCAAGCCCCAAATTGAATTCAGAGACAAACCTACTGAACCCTACCCTCACTCCCGACCACCCCCCCCCTCTCTCAAGGGCTTAGCTGGGTTCTTGTTAAGGAACATTACCATCAGAAGGGGGTTGCGTCAGAAGAGAATCTTGTCTCCTCATCATGCAAGCCCTAAACCCCAAGCCCCAAACCCTAAACTTAGCTTAAGTTCCTTAATAAGAACCCTGTTAGGACGTGCCGGTCTTCGACCCTGAGCCCTGAACCCAAGATCTATGAAAAAGATCAGGGTTTAGGGTTTAGGGCTCGCAGGTGAGCAATATGCAGCTGTGGAGGCTGCCCGGAAGCAGGTGCAAGAGGAGATGTTCCCCGACCAGTGCCTCGGATGGCCGAAGGGGCCCAACGGGAGCGCCCCCAAACCCTAAACCCTAAACCCTAAACCTTAAACCTTAAACCCTAAATCCTAAACCCTAAATCAATCCCAACACTCTCAGGTCAGAGCAGACCCCCCCCCCCCCACTTGGTGCTTTTTCTGGGGTTCAGGCTTTCTTTAGTGTTTTGGGCTTAGGATTTGGGGGACTGGGGTTCAGGTTGTTTCGCGTTCCCATTCTAGGGCCCTTGCCATCTGCCGCAACATCCCAGGATAGAGCGCGAGGCCAACTAGCGCGCAGAAGCGAAGACAAAAAGGTGCTGTGCCAACACCACCAGCAGTTTAGGGACCCCCTGTTTTTCGGCAGGGTTATAGGTTAGCTTAGTCATAGCTTATGAACCCTGTCTATAACTACCCATGAACCTTCCAAGTACGCCCCGCAAAAGCCTAGGAGAGGCCCATGTCTTTGTCGGCCCGGCCATGCAAGAGTTTTGGCCATGAAGCCCTATACAGCTTCAGGGTTTAGGGTTTAGGGTTTCGGGTTTAGGGTTAACCCTGAACCCTGAACCCTGAACCCTGAACCCTGAACCCTGAACCCTGAACCCTGAACCCTGAACCCTGAACCCTGAACCCTGAACCCTAAACCCTAAACCCTAAACCCTAAACCCTAAACCCTAAACCCTACAGGATTTGGTACAACAGAAGCCCGAAGCCCTATCTCTCTCTTCGAAGCGCTTCGTTCCCTTTCCTTTAGCCACACGTACCGAAGGCTAGCGTTAGGGTTTATTTGGGATGTAGGGCTGAGGGTTTACAAGTTTTTTCACTTTTCTAGTTTCGGGGTCCTCAACATGCGCGGAGCCAAAACGCCATGCCTCGCAAATCCTCAAGCTCGAAAGGCCTAGGCCCTGAAGCCCCAAAGCTGCGAAGCCCGAAACCCTTAAGACACCCCTTACCTGAAAGCCCAAAAGCCCGCTTCGCGGCTCCAGCCCTAAACCCTAAACAACTCTAAACCCTAAACCCTAAACCCTAAACAACTCTAAACCCTAAACCCTAAACAACTCTAAACCCTAAACCCTAAACCCTAAACCCTAAACCCTAAACCCTAAACCCTAAACCCTAAAGCCTAAACCCAAAACACCTAAACCCTAAACTCTCAACCCTAAGCCCTAAACATCCTAAACCTCAAGCCCTAAACCCAAAACCCCATATGGACCCATGGACCCTAGGGTGCTGGCAAGGACCGCGAGCGGCTCGCGAAGGACGAAGCGCTGCTGCAGCGGCTCGAGGACCTGTTTGGGCCTCGGCGCTTGTTGGGTCGAGGGCTCCGGGGATACTCAGGCCCTAAACCCTAAACCCTAAACCCTAAACCCTAAACCCTAAACCCTAAACCCTAAACCCTAAACCCTAAACCCTAAACCCTAAACCCTAAAGCCGAAAAACCTTATACCCTAAAGCCTATAACCCCAAACCCCAAGCCCTAAACCCGCAAAACCTTAAACCTTAAACCTTAAACCCTAAACCCTAAAACCCCAAACCCCAAACCGTAAACCCTAGATAGACCCTAGACCCTAGATCCTAGAATGCCCTAAACCATCATCGGGCGATAATATAGGGGCCTTAATAATTAGACTAGGGTTTTGGGGGTTATTGTAGCGAACAATTATACAGGGACCATAGGGGAATACTTTTTGTTCGCTTGACTGGCCTGGTGGCCGGCGGGCAGCTCAGTTCGGGCGCGCCTCTGGAAGAGGCACAGCACGCAGCACAAGTATGGCTGTGTTTTTATGGGTTGCGAGTTGTGTAGAGGGTTCTATAGGATTGAAGACTTTGCCAAGAGCGAAAAGCCTTAAACTCCAAACCTTAAACGCCCAAACGCTCAACCCGCGAACCCACAACTCTGAGGCCTGGAATCCCCAAACCTTGCGCGCCCTAAGGCGTTAAGCCACTTGTATAAGCCCCTACATCCCTAACCCCCTGAACCCTAAGCCGCGAAATGTCCAAAACCCTTAAACTACCCTAAAACTCGAAGCCCCGAAGGCCTTAAGCCCCTAAACCCTAAACCTCCCAACGCCCCTGAACCCCGAGATTGGAGAAGCAGCTGGCAGCCCTTGCTGGCTTCGGCCGCAACCCCAGCGCTCAAGGAGTTGAACGGCCTTGGATCCCTAAGAGGAACAGAGTTTAGGGGCCTGTACCTTCCTCTTCAAATTGAGAATGTCCTTGTCGGGGCTAGAATGGGCTGGGGTGACTTTGAAGTGTATGACCTCAGGTGGGCGCTTCACACAAGGAAATCGCAAGCTAGTCACTGGCCGCGCAAGATAAGGTGGTCTGGGGAAACCCCGGTAGTCTTGGGAAACCCCCAGATTCTCGTGCCGCAAAGACGCCCGCATGCGCGAGGTGACAAGGGCCCGGAGACGCAGCCGCATCTAGGCTGCATCTTTGTTACTTTATGCTTTATGGTTTAGTGTTTAGGGTTTAGGGTTTAGCCGCCACTACTGGCTTCACCCGCCTAGCATGACCCTGTTTCTGGAGTGCCGCTGATAAGCCTGCCTTAAATCTCGAGGTGAGTTGTATGGCGCATGGTAAGGTTTCCTTACTTCCAGCAACCAGTTGCGAAAGCCCTAAACCCTAAACCCCAAACCCTAAACCCTAAACCCTAAACCCTAAGCCCTAAGCCCTAAACCCTAAACCCTAACCCTAAACCTTAACCCCTAAACCCTAAACCCTAAACCCTAAACCTCTAAACCCCTAAACCCCTAAACCCTAAACCCTAAAACCCTAAACCCTGAACCTAAAACCCCTGAACCCCTAGACGCAAGGCCAGAGAAAGTCGCGGGGCATGAGGCCGCAGGCGCGGCGTGTCTCAAGCTCGCAGGGCGCTGAGAACGCATCCCCCTTGTGCAGCTTGCTTGTGGGGGTTGTTCCATCTGTCTGGGGCATTTTTCAAGATTTCCTGAGAGATGCAACGCTGAACCCTAAGCCCAAACTCTGAGCCCTAAACCCTAAACTCTGACCCATAAACCCTAAACCCTACACCCTAAACCCTAAACCCTAAACCCTCAACCAGTTCGTTGACCAACTTGCGTATGCTTCGATGGTGGTTCTCATTTCGTTGCTTGTCTCTAGGCCCGGAACTTGACAGTGGGCCGGCCGGACATGCAGGCACCAGAATGGGGTTTAGGTTTAGGCCGGGTTTAGGGGGTTTAGGGGGTTTAGGGTTTTGGGGGTTTAGGCCGGGTTTAGGGGGTTTAGGGGGGGGTTTAGAGGGTTTAGGGGTTTAGGGGGTTTAGGGGTTTAGCGGTTTAGGGGTTTAGTGGTTTAGGGGTTTTGGGGTTTAGGGGTTTAGGGGTTTAGGGAGCCCTAGATTTTCGGGGTTCAGGGTTGCAAGCCTGCCAAGCAAACCCAAGCTTCTCAAGCCGTCGTTGCCAAACCCCGGAACCCCCCAACCCCCAAACCCAAACCTCCAGACACCCAGACCCTCAAACCCCCAAGCCCCCAAGCCCCCAAGCCCCCAAGCCCCCAAAACCCCAAAACCCAAAACCCCAAAATCCCCAAGCCGCCAAGCCCCGCAAACCCCGAAACCCTAAACCCCTAAACCCTAATCCCTAGTGCGGTGCGTAGCCAGGACCGGTGGTGGCGGCGCGGCCTCATCGAGCGCCTAGCAGTTCAGGCCATCAGAGGTCTTTTTCGGGTTTTAGGGGTTTTGGGTTTTAGGGGTTAAGCCCTAAACCCAACCCTAGACGGTAAACTCTACATCGCTTTAAGATTTTAGGGGTTAGTGTTTCGGGTTTTAAGGTTTTAGGCTACCCGCGCGCCTCGAAGGAGGGTTTTGGGTTTCGGGTTTAGGGTTTAGGGCTTCCGGATGTTTGGCACAACAGTCAATAATGCTGATATGAGAGTTTCAATACCAAACCCGAACTCTAAACCCTAAGCCCTGAACCCTAAATCCCAAAGTCCTAAAACCCTAAACTCAAAACCCAAAACCCTCAATCCTAAACACCCTAAACCCTAAATCCTAAACCCCTAGACTGTTTGTGCGCGCGGCACGTGTTGCCGCTTCAGGCGCGAAGCGATGTGGCCTCGCCAGGTGCCCATTTCCGGTGAGGTGTAGCGCTGTGGGGTTCAGGGACTAGGGTGTAGGGTTTAGGGTTTAGGGAGGGTTTAGGGTTTAGGGGTTTCGGGTTTAGGGTTTTAGGGTTTTAGGGTTTCGGGCTTAGGGTTTTAAGCGGCTGCTCGGCCGCAATCTTCAAAGCATAGCTGAAGCTTGCTAGCGACGGCGACAGCCAACGCCTCAAGAATAAGGCAAGCTCCGAACATCTTAAGCGCGGAATTAAGAACGTGTAGCCTAGGCCGTAGGGTTCTTCCAAGTCCTCTAGCACGAGGCAGTTAAGCACTAGCAGGTTGGAGCCAGTCAGGACACGAATGCAGGCATTGTCGGTAATTACTGCAGATGCCTTCTTCGGCCGCGTTTGGGGGTTGGAAGGGCTTGTGTGTGTGTGTGTGTGTGTGTGTGTGTGTGTGTGTGTGTGTGTGTGTGTGTGTGTGTGTGTGTGTGTGTGTGCGTGTGTTTTTTTGTTATTTGCTCTTGGGTAGGTTGGACGATCTTGAGCAGTTTATACTTTTTAAAACCCTCTCACTGTATCGTTGTAATTCTCCATTTTTGTATTTGTGATGTTTTACGTTATATTATAAATTGCGTGATGAAGTTGCTTCCGTCAGGTGGTGAGCGATCATCCGCCTGGTGCGAGGCTGTGCAGGATGCTTACACCATGAGCGCAGCCTAAGACTTGAACCCAACCCGATGGCGCCTCGTTTGGGGTGTATAGACTACGAGACTACAATTTAGGGTTTAGGGTTTAGGGTTTAGGGGACAACCCCTCCCCCCCCCCCCCCTTGGTCCCGGCAGAAGCTGGCGGCTTGAAGGTCAGAGCTATGCTGGCCGGTGTCTAGCCATGTCACGGAATATTCAGTTGCAGTCCTGATGGCAACCCGGTTGGAGATGGCATGGTAAGTGTTCTTTAAGTGGCGTTAAGTAGGAGGCCCCGCAGTACCTTGGGTACTCAGAACCTATAAACGATCAACTCTACTTTGTACCCACTTGCTCCGTCCCCCGATACTCCGAGTAGGACCCCTAAACCCTAAACCCCAAACCCTAAACCCTAAACCCTAAACTCTAAACCCTCAACCCTAAACCCTCGTCTGCTCAGTCAGGTAGTTTCACGAACTGTGCATCAGAGGCACAGCACAAGAACCGTCACCTATCAGCCTACATTCCATGTTCTAAAAGCGGTGGTTTTTGGGCAGCGGGCCTCCGAACATGATGAGGCCCAGCTTCGTTGCAAACGCCATCGCTGGGAATCGGGGGCTGCGCACGGAGGCGCGGGTTGACATGGGATCGTGCCGGCGTTGGTCAAAACTAGGGCTCTTTTTAAGGGTATGGAAATACAAATGGGCCTGCATTGTAATAGTTAAAGAAGGGATCCTAATGCTGAATACCCCCCATGTCTCCATACTAGAGCAGTGTTGCTAAAGGGTGTTGTGACAGTCGTTGCGGGGGCTACAGCTTTTAGAGGTTTTCCGTGGTGTGCGGCCGCAGTTGGCGCATTCCAGATTTTCGGATGGTTGTTTCGAGAATCATCACTTGCATATGAAGCATGTGAGCACTTGTTACATTGTCATCCCCCTTTTTGGGATAGTACATGATCGTACGAAGCCTCAGCCTTTTCGGATACCCAGGAGGGTCCACAACCTAGAAAACTATCCCACCTGTTGATGGGCGCCCTTGTCCATCAGGCCCTCCCGGCACTGTTCCCGCATGGCCTGGCCGCGCTGCTGGCGTTGTGCGGGGGCTCTCAGAAAATTTCGGGAACGAAGCTTTGGAGGTTTTGTGCTTGTTGTGTGCATCTGAAGATGCCCTTGGCAGCTCTGGGAAGACTTAGGCTGGCGCCGGCCGGATCACGGCTTCCTGCTGTTGCAGAACTTGTTCGCTGCGGGTGACGCAGGCAGGAACTGCAGTTGGAGATATGTCGAGGCTCCGTGCCGTTCATGTCGTGCGTGTGGCGCTCGAGGCGCCTTGTCGAGACACCGTGCACAGTCGAGAAGAGCTTGTGTTATGAAGTTCTTTAAGCACTGAAGCCTTCTCGGCGACCGCGATTGAAGTTCAAGGCATTCGAACGGCGGCTTTCCTCTTTCTCTTTTCCCTTCTCCTTTCGAAGAGGAATAGCAGCTTGCAAGCAGTAATCGTGAGCACAGGCAGGAGCCTGGCAACATTTATGAACCGAGTGACCGCGCTGGTCATTTGCCGTTTCAGACCCAGTCTTGGAGCAATGCAGCCGACATGGCAGAACAGAAACCCTCAACAAGTTGTAGCTCGGCCCCACTTTGAACAGACCTTGCAGTGCGTAAGGGCGTGATGGCGAGACCAGAACCGCTCTCTCACCCTCTAGGCCACGTGGTTGCGGTAGGCAAGGATGTTTTTCAGTATCGCAGAAAGGCACCGACCAGAAAATCCTAGAACTCCAATGCCTTACTTCGGGATTTAAAGCAGCACAGGTTGGTGACTTCCCGAGCATAAACCCTCAACCCTTGGACCCAAACCTTTTGAGCCTTACAACCTAAACTTACTTCGGCTTAGTGACTTAGTGTTGGGGGCCGCAGGTGTCGCCGGTGCGGAGCGCCTTGCCGAGGAGCCCTGCGTGTTGCCCGGCGAGATGTTTGAGGTACAGACGGCGCCGGGGTTTCAGGGTCTGTCGAGGTAGGGTTTACAGCTTAGGGTTTATAGATTTGGGGATGAGGGTGGCGGAGGTTGGTCTTCAGCTATTGTTCTCTTCACGCTTGGGTGTGAAAGGTTGGGGGAGCTGGGTGGCTGCTGGCCGCATGTTTGCCAGAATCTTTGCACCGAAAGCGGTCCAATGGTGCATTGCTTATGTGATCTGCAAGTTCGACGTGCTCTGTACGAAAACCTTGAAAGGCCGCCAGGTCTTGCTGACCCATGAGAATTGTCTCTTCGCTGTCCTCTTGTGTGCCGCCTCCGCTCGGTGAGTCAAGCCTCCTGTTGGCAAGCTTGCACGGTTCTGAGCCACCGCTCCGAGCCGGGTTTGTAATGCAAAACCTCCCCTGCCTTGTGCGCAATGGTAGCTGGAGCGATGCAGTCTAAATTGCTCACCGAGGTTGTCTGACTTGCACCTCAGAAAGAGGAATTTCAAAAACCTGAGAAGCCGGAAACAAACCCTCGCAGGACAGGGGAAATCGGAAGTCTAGGAAAGAGAGCGACGGCTACCTCATCTGTCTTGTGCCACTCCCTTTAGGGCTGCTATCAGCTATTGAGCCAGCTTGCCATAGCTGGTGTCAGATACTGCCATTTTGGGTTATGTCATGCTTGTTTACGGTTGCATTCTCAGGTTGTACATGGCGCTGAGCCTTCTCAGAGCCGTCAGTGACTTTGGCCAGTTTCAGCCAGCATTCCACTGCAGCACAAAGTTGCACAGCAATGTTGATAGAGCCCCTGCACAGATGCTTGTCGGTCGCGCAGCCCATCAAGCTCTGGATGCATATTGGGTGTGGCACAATGCTCGATCAATCATCTTAGCTGTAGCCAGAGCCTTCGTGGAATGTCAAGCGCAGCAGAACAGCACAGCATCATACGGAGCTTCCTTTCATGGCGCTGGGAAGCAGATGGCGGTCCTCGTGGGCCCTCAGCATAGTCAGCCTAGCTGGGCTTGCTGGGCTTGCCTGGCTTGCAAGGAAGGTCATCAAAGCGCTTGCCAGAAGACCCAAGAGTCTAGACTGCTCGGCCCCCGTGCAAGCTCCTCGGGAAGTCTCTCAGGGCCACACGGATGAAGTGGGCCGTGCCCCAGCGGAGTCTCTTGACGGCCCTTTGCCGTCTCTGCCGGCAGCTGGCAGCACAGCGGCTGCGCCGGCTGCGGGGCCACCGGCGGCTGCGGTGCCACCGGCGGCTGCGGTGCCACCGGCGGCTGCGGCTGCCCCGGAAGCGTCGCAAGGCCCCGATCCGAGGCCGGGCGAGCCGCAGGCGGAGGCTGCGCCGCCAGAGGCGGCGGTGGCTTCGGTCGCGGCTTCGGAAACGGCGTCGGCGGGGGCACCGCCTTCGAATGCCCCAACCCAAGCAGGTGCCAAGAAGGCCGCCAAGGCGACCGGAATGGCACGTGGCTTCCTGAACAAGCCGGCAAAGAAGCAAAGCAAGAAGTCTGACTCGCAAGCTTCTAGTCCCGCCACTTCGGCCACCACTGCACCTCCAGAGGCACAGAAGGAGGACAGGGTCACAGCCCCAGACGATCCCAGTTCTGCCGCTGCCACTCGACTTGAACCTCAGCCTGGTCTCAAGCCGGAGATGTCAGACACAGACACAGCCGTTACGTCTTTAACGCGGATCATCATTCTTCTCTGTTCTTCTTTTAGTTGTTTTGTTCACGTCACCGTTGTTTCTGCTTTGCAGTTTAGGTGCCGTCGTCTCGCAATCTAAAGAGACAGGCTAATGAGCCCATCTTTACCAACATGTTATTGCTCATGACATCAACTCCGTGAAAGGAAGACACATGAATCATCAGACTCCGATCCTGCTTTGAGCGCCAAGGTAAAGGAAATAGCACGCGAGCAGGAGGCAAGCCTGCTTGTCCTTCTGAGCGTGTGGAGTTCTATAGGAGGCATGACGTTTCGTCCTGAGGGAGATAGTCGAAAATGCTCCTGTTGCTTTTCTGGGCTCCTGCATGTGCTCCTAGGTGGTTCACTGGAACCTAATGCCTAAGCCTTAGAATCAGACCTGGCAGGTTGGAGTCGCGGCGTTCCACAACTGCTCCTTTCGTGAGGCAAAGGCCTCGTTCGAGCGGATGCGCGACATCGCGCGCACTGCCGGACTTGGTCGGGAGGAGGGCCAAGCCAACCGACTTCTGGCAAACGCTCTGGACAAGCTGGATGCTCCTGAAGCCGAGACTTGGTCCAAAAATGAAAACAAGTCTTCCTTATTTTTGGGGTAATATAGGGATTCTCATCTTTCATGTTTTTTGAGGTTCTTAAGCAAATAGTAGCAAGTGTGACCGCTTTTCCTTCTCGGCTTGAGGACATCGATGCGGCCTATCAGCAGGCGATGCGAAGTGCGCACAAGCACGACGATATGGAGCTGCGCCCCAGATGCAGTGGAGACATTCATAGAGGATAGAATAGAGGAGAGAGGGAACTCGGATTCTCGGACTGGTGGCTGCCGCCTTTTGTTGGGAGCATGAGCTGAGCCGCTGAGGTCCTTCAACGTGTTGACGGGCATGGGCTCGCATGCGGTCAAAACAGGCGACTTGGATCTGGCGGAGCATCTCTACCAGCAGTCGCTCATGTTGCTCGGTGGGCCCCGGGAAGATTGCACTACTTCCCTTACTGGGCTGAAGAGCGTCTCGTTTAGGAGTATTATGTTCGGAGGGTCTGAGCGGCCAGCTTAGGTTGGCACAGCGTGTGCTCACAGTCCACGAGCAGGGCATTGCCGAAGGCAACCTGGGTATGTGCCTGGGCCAGATGGAAGGAAGGAGAGCCGAGTGCTTGGACCACTTCAAAAAAGCCATCAAGCTTCAGAAGGAGGGTACGAACCCCCATGCCATTGTGACCCTGACGGCGAACTTCGCCTCCGCGCTTTGTGCCGACGGAAAGTACGAGGACGCAAAGAAGGAGTACGAGAACGCGTTGGTGCTCGCTCGGCGAATTGGTGACCGTCGGGTGGAAGTAAACATCCTGACGAACCTCGCGAACCTTTGCGAGAACATCCTCCTGCTGCCTGAGAAGGCCCGCCAGTACCGGTCTGCTCTGAAGGGGGAGTACAGCAAAGATGCTTGTGCCATCTGCCTGGAGCCGCTGGATCTGGAGGGCCGCACGCAGACGGTCTTGCAGTGCAGCCACATCTACCACAGCCAGTGCATCGATCAGATCCTGTCCAGCGACTCGGAGAGCCGGAGCAAGTGCCCTCTGTGCCGCAACTCCTTCTTCAGCTTCACCGCTGCCTGACGGAAGCCCCTGGCACTTAAGCCGCTGCTTGGAGGTCTTAGGAGAAGAGTTGGGCATGGGCTTGTAAGAATGCTCATGGCCCGACTTGGTATCTGCATGCCTCCAAGTGCCTTGTTTTTCTTGTGCGAATTCTTGTGCATGAGCTTGCTCGGACTATTCATCTCATGGCTCTCCTGCTGTAAACGTGGCGGAAAGCTTGGATGTTGGTAGAGACCAAACGGCCCGGCCACGCGCGCCGGCAAAAGATGTGTTTTGCTGCCTGCCTTTGGTGGCAGGCCGACGATTTACGACGCGACTCTTGCTTGAGCTAAAGGGTCTTTAAGGCCTTGAACCCGGTAACGTGGTGATATGTTTCACGCTCTAGTTGTCTAGGGTATGTGTTTATCGTCTAACACACCCAAAACTCCACTCCAAAAGGGCACTCTGGAAGCGCTCCAAGACCACGTCGTCAGCATTTTGGGCCCCTAAGCGACGACAAGTTCCTGAACTTCATGCGGAGGACGCGCGCGCGGGAATGTCGGGGCGGGAGCATGACTTGGACCACGGAAGGTCACGGGACATTGGGCGCCCAAAATGCATGAACCTGCGTCCCAGAGAATTGTGTTGGCCTCAAAAGGTGCACGGGCACTAGGCTTCGAGTACAGATTTTGCATGGGAGCAAGCCGAGAGCGCGGTTTGGCACCCTCTGCAAGGCCGAAAGCATGCTATTTGTGACATTTGAGTCACCTCTTGATGTTGGCGGGCACGAAACTGCGCACGGTGCCTTGGCGAGAGAGTGCGGACCCACATGAAAAAACACCGCGAGGGTCATCGATTTCGAGACACCGTGAGCACCCGCAGGCGCCGTCCGTCGAGGACCAGCGATTTGATTCTCTTGACCCTGAACGCAACAACCCCAAAGTGTAGGCATTGTTTGGGAACAGACTTTCACGTGTAGATGCAAGCCTTAGGCCATTCACCCGAAGCCTCAAATCCGCCCACTAAGGGACCCTAATGTTGGTCACCCTAAACCCTAAACCCTAAACCCTAAACCCTAAACCCTAAACCCTAAACCCTAAACCCTAAATAACTTTGGCCTTCCATTTGCCTTCAGGTGGACTCTGACGACCTTAGCGCCGCCGTGGCTGCCAAGGCCGATGCTCTCCCCAAAGTCCGAAACCCTAAACCCTACACCCTAAACCCTAAACCCCTAACCCCCTAAACATGAAACAGGGTGTATATTTACTGCTATTGGTGAGTGTTCTATAAGGTTCCTTTTGAATATTGGTGAGTGTATATGTTGGGTGTCCCTTTTGGGGTACAAGAAAGATAAGCCCTACTTCACATCCCTCCTTGGTGTCGATTTTGAGGTCGGGGGTTTCGGCTTGCAGGGGTTGGAAGCTCTTGGCAGTCCGAGGCAGGGTGCCGCAAACGGGTTGAGGTTTCGGGCGAACACCCCAACCTCAAAATCTGAGGGTCGACCCCAGACCAAAAGAACAAAACTGAATCTTAGCTTCCTAAACCCTAAACCCGAAACCCTAAACCCTAAAAGCGCCGGAGGGCTTGAGGCTCCAAGATCTGCTGTGCCGGCAAGAACATCGCGCAACAGACCTAGACCCCGAAGCTCCTAGGGCTTTGGGGTTTGCGTTCAGGGGTTCCAAGAGAGGGGCAGAGGTTGTGGGACGATGTCACTTGGGTTTGAGGGCTCAAGGTGGGGTTACTTGAAGGTTCATGGGTAGCTATATGTAGGGTTTGTAAGTTCATTAAGGTTCATATATATCTACCCATGAGCCTTCAAGTAGGGTTCTGCTGCCGCCCTTTCCGTAGCTGGTGGGCGTTGCTGTTGAACGATGAGAGGCGCGCGATTGGGCAGCCATCTTCTTCTCCAGCCTCTGGAGCTCAGGCCGGGCTCAGGGGTTTTAGGGTTTAGGGTTCTAAGCCTTATATAAGCCCTATTACCCGAACCCTCAACTCTGAACGCTGTAACCCAAGCTTCGAAACCCCCTTATGTTCTAAGTGGCGAACCTTCGACGCTGGGTTCCTTCATGGCCATCGCGATGGAGGCCGTATGTGGAAGATCACCTCAAGAAGCAGGCATTTCCATTTCCAGCACTTTGGGATAAGCCTGGCCTGAACCCTAGTTCTTGTGGGTTCTACCGCTTCGCATGATGCCATCTAGCCTGATGGTCTCTGTAGCTAACCTTAAGTTGGTTTGGATTTGGAGGTTCTCTCTTGTCTGTGTGTGTGTGTGTGTGTGTGAGTGTGGAGGCCCGCGTTGGGATCCCATACCTTTCTTAGTAAGCAGAGCGTACGTGAGAATAGAACTACCCTAACTTGGGGTTGTACAAAGCTGACTGCCTCGAAAGTTCCCTGCACCCTAAACCCTGAGCCCTAAACCCTAAACCCTAAACCCTAAACCCTAAACCCTAAAACCCTAAACCCTAAACCCTAAACCCTAAACCCTAAACCCTAAACCCTAAACTCTACACCCTAAACCCGAAGCATGCCGCGCTTCGAGACAGGTCTCTTCGTCCAAGCCTCGGATCACAGCGTGCAAAGCAGGGTTGGCAGCCTTCGGTGTCCTGGACTCCTGAAATCCCGAAACTCTGGACTCCAGACGAAGCCCCTGAACCCTGCACCCTAAACCCTAAGCCCTAAACCCTAAACCCTAAACCCTAAACCCTAAACCCTCAATCCTGGATGTAAAAAGGTGACGTTCCGCTCTCCAGGCCCAGGCTTTCCGCGCTGTTGCCAGCGTGTCGGCGGAGCGACTCCACAGCTTCCTGACGGCTGGGAGCTCAGGGTTTAGGGTTTAGGGTTTAGGGTTTAGGGTTTACCCTAAACCCTAAACCCTGGGTGCCTTTAGGGTTAGGGTTCAGGGTTTACTGTACAGTTTAGAGTTTAGTTCGTTGTCATCATCAACATCATCAACACAACTGGGTACTTCTGTGTCGGGCTAACTCTGCTGCTGTCGATGATGATTAGTATTGGCATTGTTATTCATATTGTACGCCTAATCATTCGTCACTTTCAAATTATTGTCATGGTTGCATTGATTCTTCGTCTGTTTGCTGACTATTATTCCGTCGATTTGTTGTTCATGTTTTGGATGCCTCCCACTCTCCCTCTCTCTCTCTGATCTCTCTCCCTCTCTCTCTCTATATAAAGCCAACTGCATGTAACATATGTAATGCATGTAATGTAAGTAGTTCATGCAATGTATGTAATGCAATGTATGTATGATGTGATTTATGGAATGTATGTAATATTTGCAATGTACCTAATGTATGCAATGATGTATGTAGCGTATGCCGTGTGTGTAATGTGTAGTGTATGTGTAGAGTATGTAATGTATCTGCGTATGTAGCGTGCATGTGTACGCATGTTTGTATGTGTGCATGCACGTACGCATGCACGCAACGATTTCATTTGGGATGGCGCTACGATCATGTAGGAGGGTGTTGTGCGCCCTCTCTTCCCCGTCTTGTTCGAACCCTGTACTCGAAGGTACGTATGCATGATAACTTTCCAACCCTAAACCCTAAACCCTAAACCCTAAACCCTAAAGCCTAAACCCTAAACCCTAAACCCTAAACCCCATCTTAGGGCTTTGGGATTCTGGGCCAAAATCTTGAACCAGAAGCCCCCAACTTCGACATCATACGTTTTAATCTGCAGCCCTAAGCCCTAACCCCTAAGCCGCCAACCCCAACGCACCACCCAGAGCTCTAAGCCCTAAACCTTACAAACCCTGAACCCTAAACCCTAAGCCCGAAACCCCAGCCCCCAAATGTCCGAGGCTGTGGCAGCCGTGCCTGGCTGGGGCGCCCTGCGCCCGGAAGGGAGCAGCGGAGAGTGGGGGGCCCAGGCAGAGATTTTGGGGTTTAGGGTTTAGGGTTTGGGGTTTAGGGTTTAGGGTTTAGGGTTTAGGGATCAGGGATCGTTTCTTTTTGGGACTTCAGAGCTTGGGGCTTCAATGAGGGGGTTTGGGGCTCAGCATCTCAAGTCCATCTTTCGCTAGCCAAGCAGCCTGTCGAGCGACGGAGACATGTCATCATCAAGATGGTTTAGGTATTGCCGGTTGATTTTAGGGACATTTGTTGGCTTCAGGTTGTCAGGGTTAAAGTTGAAGGCTCATGGGGGGATCACTAAAACTCGAACCCGGGATGTTACAACCCCCCGCCAGAACCCCCCAAAGCCCTCAACCCCAAAGGCCACCCCCCGAAGCCCTAAACAGCAAGATAAACCAAACCCCAACCCTAAATCCTAAACCCTAAATCCTAAACCCTAAACCCTAAACCCTAAATCCTAAACGCTGACCCCTAAATCCTGCCAAAGCCTAATATCCCAAACGCATGCCTTAAACCCGAAACCCTGCCACACAAAACCTAAACCTTAAACCCTAAACCCTAAACCCTAAACCCTAAACCCTAAACCCTAAACCCTAAACACTGGGTGAATCCCGGTGGGTGAGGTCAGTTGAGGAAGCGGCACAGACCTTTGGGATCATCGCTTCACGCCTCTGCATCCGGGCTGCAGCGTTTTTTTTGGGGGGTGTGTTAGGATGTTTGAGGGGGTCTAGGGTGTTTAGGGTTGACGGTCTAGGGTGTTTCGGTGTTTGGGGTTTAGGGTTTAGGGTTTAGGGCTTGGGGTTTAGGGTGCTAAGGGTGTTTAGGGTTTTGGGTTTTGCGGTTTCAGGATTTGGGGTTTGGGGGGCTTAGCGCTTGGGGGGTGGGAGATTCGGGTATATGTGTTATAAGATGCGTTTCGAGAGCTTTGTGTTGGTGCTAACCGTTGCCACCAGCGATGCTAGTTAAGAATTTGGTCTCCTCACTCCTGCTCCAGCTGCTGCGTCTTCTAAGAACTCCGGAGCCTCAATATCAGTATTCCTACAACGGCTATATGAGACTACACAGTCGCCCTAAACCTAAACCCTAAACCCTAAACCCTAAGCCCTAAATCCTAAACCCTAAGCCCTAAGCCCTAAGCCCTAAACCCTAAACCCTAAACCCCAAACCCTAAACCCTAAACCCTAAATGGGGCAGGCTCCTTGACCCAAACTTCCCCCTTCGATTGGAGCCCCGAAGCCTTGAGCTCCTCCCAGGTGGGCACAAAGAGGCCCCTACCTTAGAGACGAGCGTCGTGGGTTTAGGGTTCAGGGTTTAGGGTTAAGGGTTTAGAGGTTAAGGTTTAGGGGGTCTGAAATTCGGGATACTTTATTGGGGTCCTCATGAAAAGGGTGTCCGACTATTTTGGGGACTACATGAGGGTCCCCTTGCTTGCGTACAACCCCGCCTATGCCATTGTGTGAGAAGGCTTTCTATTTTTTCTTATGATTTATTTTGTTTCTTTAACGAGTTTAGGGTTTAGTGTACAGAGTCACAAATCCAAATGCCATGGGCCGTGCCAGCCTTAAGCCTAATGCCCATTCTTCTTCTTCTAGTCTCTAAGCCTTCGCAGTTGTTCCCGTCTGTATGGCAATCTGCTTTACCGAAAGAGTTTGCACCCCGAGTGTTTGAGAACACCGTGCAGGAGACATGCAGTCACAACTTCATCAATCCTCCGCGCAACAAATAGAGAATGATTAGTCAATCTGATCGCAGTGTTATGCGTTGCTACGCCAGTAGCACCCATTTCTTTGGCCCGGAATGGCCATCCGTGACATGGAAAGCCTACGAATACATATACGCACATCTCACATACACAACTCACAACGCCGCAACTTGTTGTCATAGGCGCGTGCGCGAAAATACGTCCTTGTCCATAGCAGAGGCTACTGGGAGAACCGCAACTTCAGGAAACTCCCAGACCTTGCCCAGGGCCATCGGACTAACCCATGAAGGCAAAGTGATTTTTAGCCTAAGACCAACTCTGTTGGATTGCAGGCCTTGGACCAATCATTGGGCCAGTAGGCTGGTCTCAGATGGAACCGCCCTAGACCGTAAACCCTAAACCCACCCTAAACCCTAAACCCTAAACCCTAAACCCTAAACCCTAAATCCTAAACCCTAAACCCAAGACCCTAAACCCCAAATCCTAACCCCCTCAGGCCCTGGGCTTGCTGTGGCACACAGCCGTTCACTTGGAATTTGCGCTCCATGACATGGGGAGGTTTCAGTAATTAGGGGCCCACCCTATTCGGGTCCTCATTTTAAGAGAGTCCCAGTATTTGGGGGGGTCTATTTTGTGGGGGGTCCCCTCTATTTTCTATTTGCGAAAGCCCCCATGTGGCTTTAGGGGCTCAGGGGTTCTCAGGGGTTCGGGCGCCACATCTGGTTTGGGGTTTTGGGGTTTTGGGGTTTTGGGGTTTTGGGGTTTAGGGTTTACTGTTTCGGGTTACTGCTCGGAATCGCGCCCCAACTCCTGGACCTCTAGGCCCTCAACCCCCACAGATTTTTTAGCCCTCAAACATGCGGATGAACTCTCGGATCCACCGCAACAGGGCCCCTCTTACCCTAAACCCTAAACCCTAAAGCCTAAAACCCTAAACCCTAGACCTTAAGCCTTGATTTCTGAGCCCTGAGCCCAAACCCTAAAAGCAAGATATTCTCCTTCAGGTTCGTGGCCCCTAAATCCTAAACCTTAAGTTCTGAGCCCTGAAACCCTAAACTCGAAACCCCAAACCCTAAACCCCAAACCCTAAACCCTAAACCCGAAACCCTAAACCCCAAACCCTGAACCCTAAAAGCAAAACATTCTCATTCAGGTTCGCGGCCTCCTGGGAGGGTTGGACAGCGAGGAAGGCGTGAGCTCGCAAGGCTTCTTCGGGGGGTCTGGGGGGGGGGGGGGGGGGGTTGATTGGGGGGTTTAGGGTTTAGGATTTCGGGTTTAGGATCTAGGGTTTAGGGTTTCAGGATTTTGTTTTTGTTTTTTGTATTTTTTTTTTTTTTTTTTTGGGGGGGGGGGGGGGGGTTCTAGCGTTTTGGGTTAAGGGTTTGGGGTTAAGGGGTTCGGGTTCTGGAAGCTTAGGGGTTTTGGGTTTTGGGTTTGGGAGTTTAGCGGTTTTTGGGTTTAGGAGTTTGGGTTGGAACTGCTGTGGGTTTTGCATTGGAGGTGAAGGGGGTGGTCTAGGGCTTGGGAAGCTGTTTCGGGTTCAGCGGCCCAACGAACCTAGCCGAGGACGAGGGTTGTTGAGCTTTTTCGGTTTACGCTTCCCAAAACCCTAAACCCTAAACCCTAAACCCTCAACCCTAAACCCTAAACCCTAAACCCTAAGCCCTAGACCCTAGGGAAGGAAGTGGCTGCTCACAGGTGGCAGCGCTGGCGTCTCCTCGTCTGCTTTGTGTCTGGCGCTCAGCGCGTCATTGTTGTGTTTAGGGTTTAGGGAAACCTTGAACCCTAAACCCTAAACCCTAAACCCAACCCGAACCCGAGCCCTAAGTACAGCCAATCTCATGCGTGGCGAGGCCTGGCGCAGCAGCTGCTCAACGACTCCAGCTTCGTGGACCGACAGTTCCCCCGAGCCCCAAACCCCAAACCCCAAACCCCAAACCCCAAACCCTACACCCTAAGCCCTAAACCCTAAAGCCCTGGAACCCTAAACCCCCGAACGCGCAGCTTTGAGCCGTGCAAAGCAAAAGGTGATGTTTTTGTTGAGAGCCAAAGAAGCTTTCCTAAACCCCTTAAACCTCTTAACCCCCTTAAACCCTAAACCCTCTGAACTCCCTACACCCCTTAAACCCCTTACACCCCTTAGACCCCGTAAATCCCTTAAGCCCCTAACCCTTAAAACGCCCGTCTCGCATCGGGTGTTGGGGTTTGGGCTGTTAGGGGCTTGGGTTTAGGGGCTCGGGGGGTTCAAAGGATGTATTCTTTAGGGTGTAGGAGGGGTTTAGGTCTAGGCAAACTTTGGCAAGAACGTCCTCGCCCCCTAACTCCCCCAAGCCTGCACAACCCTTAACCCCTAAACCCTGAAACCCTAACGCCTAACCCCTAAAACGCTAACCCTAAACCCTAAACCCTAAACCCTAAACCCTAAACCCTAACCCCTAACCCCTAAACCCTAAACCCTAAACCCTAAACCCTAAACCCTAAACCCTAAACCCTGAACCCTGATCCCTGAACCCTAAACCCTAAACCCAAATAAGCTGTGTTCCTACATCCGAAAGCGCTTGAAGGAGCTGGCCGCGGAGGAGATGGCGGCGGGGATCCTCCAGTTGGCAGCCGTTTGGAATCTTGAGCTGGGTGCCCGGTGTGTACCTCGGTGTATTGTACTTTTTTGGGGCTATATTCTTCTGCTTATTATTAGTTGATTTTTATATACAGTTGTTCTAAGATTCTCTTGCTATATGAGCTATATTGGTATATTCCACTAGAGATACTAAGGGTTGAAGGCTTACAAGGGGGCCGGGGGGTGCCGTGGCGGTCTGAGGCTGGAGTATGACCCACCCCCCGCAGATGCCTGCCGAGCGCTCGGCCTCGAACCCGCAGATCTCGATCTCGCAGCGCGGGTGCCTCAGAGCTGCCGGGGAAGTCCAGACTCAAGGGTTTAGAGTTTAGGGTTTAGGGTTTAGGGTTTAGGGTTTTGCCCGACTTCTAGAAATAACGTAGACCGCAGAATTTCTGGGGGTCGAGTTCCCTACTTTTTTTGGGTATTCGAGGCAGTCCCCCGAGATGTATCAGGGCCCCCAAAAATAGAGACCGTGTTCGGGCTCCCTTTTCGTAGGGTTCTAAGTGCCCCAAGTAGAGGTATAGTACATAGGCAAGTGCCCTAGTTGAGGGTATAGCATGGAGGTTACCTTGCTTCTTTAGGGCTCAGGGTTTAGGGTTTAGGGTTTAGGGTTTAGGGTTCTTCGAAGTATCCCATGAGGCCTTCAAGTAGGGTGTTTAGGCCTCGCTCACCAGGTTAGCAGCTCGGGGGCTCCACCACGACGAGGCTCCCTGTGGCAAGGAGACTCCCGGTTTAGGGTTTAGGGTTTAGGGTTTAGGGTTTAGGGTTTTAGGGTTTAGGGGGTCGGATGACTTGCTGCTAAGAATAGTATTCCCTTATGGTCCCTTTGTGGTTTTACTGTAAGAACCCCCCCCACGCCAAAACAATATTATCATTCTTTCAGGCCCCTTTATTATAGCTTGGGGGTGCCGGACCCTCAACCCTACCTTAAGGGCAGTTACATGCTCCATTAATATGGGCCCTGAAAAGGGGACCCCTTATTTATCCCTCATATTCCCGCAAGACCCAAGGGCCCATACAGAACCTTTAAAGTTGACACCGATGGTCTCTGCCTAGGGCTGTCGCCCATGTGGAGAGAAGGCGTGCCCAAGCCCGAAAGACCTGCATCCCACCCGTTTCCCCCCCTTCCCCCCCTCCCCTCACACGCAAAGCTCCTCCCCCCCCCCCTCCCCCCCGAAAAGAGATCTTGTCGGCCCTATTCTGCCTTAAGAAGGGCGAGGAGGGATCCTTCCGCGAGCTGCTCTTGGCTGCGGTCGTGCGGAGTCCCAGCGCGTTGTTCAGGTTTAGGGTCTAGGGTCTAGGGTCTAGGGTCTAGGGTCTAGGGTTTAGGGTTTAGGGTTTAGGGTTTAGGGTTTAGGGTTTAGGGTTTAGGGTTTAGGGTTTAGGGCTACAGGCTTAGGTTGAGGATTCTGTGGGGGACAACCTTCAGAGTGGGAATCCTAAGACTGTAAGAGAGAGCGCCGAAACCCCAGAACACTCATTAATATGTTAGTGGTGACAATTTTCATTTCTATGCAGCACCCCCCAGCACCCGAACCATTACAACCTCCAACTCACCAAAATACCCATTAGTAAGACCCAAATGATGAAAAAAAAACATACTATGGAACCACGCATAACCACGCATACTCCATAGAAAACAGCATACTCAACCCCATAGCATGCCCCCACCCGATAGAGAACCCAATAGTAGCAACCCAAAGCCCTTAACCGTGGAAAATGGAAATGGTCTTCTTAACTAAAGCCGGAATAAGGTTTAGGAATAAGGTTGTCGCAAAGCGCGCGAGACTTCTGACGACGCGCACCTAAGAGAGTTATAGTCATGAGTGTCTGCTGTCGTTGCTTTCGGTTCGACAACATCAACAGGAATTTCAATCACGAAGATCATAATTCTGTCCTTATGCTTGCCGAGTAGCATAAAGTAATCTTCCAGAAACACGTCAGTCAGTAGTAATCGATGGACCTGATTAAAGAATTTATCAAAACCGGGTTTAGGTTTCTCTGGTTCGGGCTGTGGTCCCAGTGTTTCCTCTTCATCAACAAATTCGTTAGGAAGTTGTTCGCTGAATCGTTTGCGTATTTCGTATTCTGCCTTAATTTCTTGTTGTAACTTGTCGTTCAGTTTGCCTTCTTTCCTTGAACTGCCTGCTTTCCTTGAATATCCTTGCGCCAAGACATGTACTTCCGAATTCGGATGTAAGGCATAGTGGAAATGGGCATCCTAGTTTTCGTGCTGTATTTTAGGTTCGCACTACTGAGGTTATAGGGGTTCTGGTACCCCCGACTACAATCCCTATCAAAGAGCTGTTAGTATAAGGGGGAGCATCCCGAGTTTGGGGCTTTCTAGCCCCAAGAGAAGCTTCACTGGGAGGCCATTGAATCTGGCGGCTCGCAGGTAGCAGGTCGCAGTGGAAGCACACGTCTTCGGTGTAGGGCTTAGGGTTTCAGGCAGAATGCACGACTATTGTTATCGAGTAATACAAAAAGCATGGTAGGAACATAGTCTAATCTCAAACCTGACCTAGAGTCATGGTCTGCCTCGCGAGAAATTGCGGGTGCTGAGGTGTCACACAACAGCCTCGATCGATTGCGGTGCGGATCACCTTAATTGAGGTTGTAGTATAGGTTACCTTACTTATAATCCTCCTTATTACTAACACATGAACCTCCCCCCCCCCCCTTTCAGGAGCTGGCCTCCATCCCTTGCGGCGCGCCATTCCCGCGGAAGCTTGCAGGCACGGCGCTTCGCGCGCTTCTCGCGCTGCTGGCACCTGCCGTAGCACCCGATACCCGACTCCCCAGCCCGAAGCCCGAAGATCCAAACCTGAAACTCTGCCCAAAACCCCAAAACCCCCAGAACCCCCAAAACCCCCCAGAAACCTCAAAACCCTAAGCCCTGTCGCCGCGACTGTCGCCCCTAAACCCCAAAACCCCAAAATCCCTCAACCCTGATCCCCCCTGCAGGACTCTACTTGTCAGCGAATGTTCAGCTACTGAATGCGCTGCATCACTTGCGTCCACGCCTTGGAACATGGCTGTGGATTGCAGAGCTCCCTGCTCAGGAAGGAGTTTGGCAAACAAAGCCCTAAACCCTAAACCGCCTAAACCCTCAAGTTGTATGTAGGGTGGCTGCTCCGCGCCTAAGGCTTTGGTACTGCAGTGCGTGCCCCAGCTTCTTAAGACTTCGGCGGGGCCAAGCCGTCGCCAGTGACAGGTATAGAGGAGCATTATACAATAGTAGTGTAGTAGAATAGTAGAAGAGTAGAAGAATACAAGAGTAGAAGACTAGAAGAATCGAAGAGTAAAGGAGTAGAAGAGTAGAAGAGTAGAATACAAAACAGACAAGAAGATAGCAATACAATAGCAAAAGCATTCTAGTTTATCAGTATCATGACACACTGGTATCACAACACAGTCTTAAAAACATACCAAAACAACAAGAATACAATCACATCATCGCATAATGACACACGTCATCACATAATGATACAAGCATACAATCGTACAACTGTCATCTATTAGTTGAATTGCTGGGTTTAGGGTTTAGGGTTTCGGGTTTCGGGTTTAGGGTTTAGGCGGTGTGTGCCGTTGCCGTACTCCCTGCGAATGTTCAGCTCCAAGTCGCTTGCCAACCTTGTTTTGTTTGCGGCGGTCCCCCAGGACCCCTAAAACCCAAACATTTTGAGCCCCAAGCTTGCCTGAATATTAGGGTTTAGGGTTTAGGGCTTAGGGTTTAGGGTTTACCTTATAAGTCTGGACTCAACCCCCCCCCCCCCCACCAAAACCCCCTTGACGCCTCAGGCGGTGGCTGAGACGGGGGTCGAGCTGCCTTCGCGGCAGGACGGCCTGTCACGAAATGCTTGAAAGGGCCGAGAGTCATGGTAGAGAGCCCGAAAGTACACCCTAAGCCTTAAACCCTAAACCCTAAACCCTAAACCCTAAACCCTAAACCCTAAACCCTAAACCCTAAACCCTAAATCCTAAACCCTAAACCCTAAACCCTAAACCCCAAGGGCTTCAGGGGCTAACTACCCAAACGACCAGGTTCTGGTCGGGATGTATATAGGTACTCCTTGGACCGTTCCGCATGCTACTGAGCTACCCGGTGCTACAAGGAATCCCTGCTGAAGCATCTCACTCTTCGGGAGCGGGTTTAGGGTTTAGGGTTTAGGGTTTAGGGTTTAGGGTTGAGGGTTGAGGGTTGAGGGTTTAGGCATTCTGCCTGTCTTTGCTTTGAGAATGGAGGGCTTCCTCAGGAGCCCGCTGCTGCCAACCCTGAGAGTGCCGGGCCCCGAGTGCGACGGGCGGCAGACCTCTCCCACGTAGGGCGCGTTCGTGGACCTTTTTTTTGCTTGCAGCAGAGCAGAATGACATATAAATGTATAAGAATATAACTATTCAATTTTTTCAGCAGTGGCGCCGAGTTCTTCCTGGAGGCTGTCAAGGCTGCTGCGGCCTGCCAGCTGGTGGCGCAGCTGAGGATGCCAACTGCAATGGAGTTTTTGTGCAGTTGACGCTTTGAGAAGACGTGATTGCCGCGACTACAGCTTGCTGGTGGCAGGCTTTGCGGCAACGTGCTCTACGAAAGCCCAGAGGCCCTGAAGGGCGGGTTCCCGGGGTCCACGAAGGCATGCGCTCGGAAGACGCCAGGCCGCGGAGTTTCTGCGTTTGTCCGGTGGCCTGCCGTGAGCTCGGAGCTTGCTTGGCCAGCTCTTGCACCGGCTGTTTTGCCAAAAACCTCAGTAGTCCCCTTCCATTTATGACTAGCTGTAGATACCCCAAAATACCCATGCCATTTAAATGGGCACCCCCCCCCAATAGCCATGCAAGACAAGCGGAACAGAGCCGCAGGTGAAACACGCTCCCACGGCCGAGGCCAACTTTGCTCTCCCACTGCTATGCCGACCCGGAGATGCCTCTGCTACGTGAGGTGGGCGTCTTCGCGGTGCGCCCGGGTGCCCAGTTGTGGAAGGCGGCCCGGCGTACCCCAATCCTTCAATACTTGAAGCCGCAAAACCTTCTAAACCCTCTAAACCTTCTAAACCTTCTAACCCCTAAACCTAAACCCTAAACCCTAAACCACCCTAAACCACCCTAAACCACCCTAAACAGCCGTGAACCCTAAACCCTAAACCCTAAACCCTAAACCCTAAACCCTAAACCCTAAACCCTAAACCCTAAACCCTAAACCCTGAACCCTGAACCCTAAACCCTAAACCTTAAACCCTAAACCCCAAACCCATACGACCCTCCACCCTGAACCCATAAAACCCTAAGCCCGCAGAGGCAACGCCACACAGCACAGCGAAGCGACCCGTGCTGCGGTGAGGCAGCTGCTGGCCGAGAGGCCGGGCGTTTAGGGTTTAGGGTTTAGGGTTTAGGGTGTAGGGTTTAGGGTTTAGGGTTTAGGGTTTAGAGAGTTTTGTCCCCTCCCCCCGCAATAGGGTTTAGGGCCGTTTAGGGCTTTAGGGGTCAGATCTACTACTTGAGGGGCGACTTTCTTCTGGGTTGGAGGGGGGATATTCTGACGTGCACAAATCTCCGTGAATCCTCAACTCTAAACCGAAAGCCCTAAGCCCTAGGCCCTAAACCCTACAGCCTTAAACCCTAAGCCTTCAGCCTCAATCCCTATTAGGGAGCTGCTGGGTCTTTCAGGCGTTCCCCCAAATCCCAGAAGCCCGAGCCGGAAACCCTATTGGTACGAGATTGAGTTTTATGACTTCGGGTGAGGGTTTAGGGTTTAGGGGCTTTTGGGTTTAGGGTTTAGAGTTTAGGGTTTAGGGTGTACCTCACAGCGAGCCAAAACCAGAGCCAGCCAAGCCAAGCCAAGCCAAGCCAGGCCCCCAAGCATCGAAGATGCTCAGTCACTTGGGTCACTGGGGACACCTAAGTGGACTCGCTTGACACACTCGGAAAACTTGGGACACCAACTTGAGATGCTTGTAGCACTTGGGACGCTTTTGGGACACCGGTCAAAGATTGCTACGGGCAGGAAATTTAATTTCCGTTGGGGGGGTCTTTCTCGGCCGAATGGCCTTTCCCATCCAATATTCTCAGGTGTCAGACGTTTTCTGGAAATCGATTCCTTAAGGGCACTTAAAGGGGGTTTCAGGATCCCACAACTCGTCCACCTTCAGGCCCGCGAAGTGGGTTTCAACCCAGAGAACCCCGCCCTAAATGTGGCCAGGCGCGCTCGCGCTGCCTCTGGCGCGCAACGCCAAGGCGCTGTTGCCTATAGACTCCTCTCCCCAGCTCCTACCTGTGTGGCGAGCCCGATGCAGTCCAAGCAGCTCGTGAGGAGTTCTTCTCTGTCTAAACCCAAGGTAGTCAGCTCTGTCATAGTTGGGTAACATTTTGCATTTTTAAGGGTACTTAAACCCAATAAGGATTATAAACTCAAATCTTTAATACTATCCCAACCAGGAACTAGTCAACACTGCAGTCCCTCTCCTCAACGCCCCCCTAAACCCAAGATGCCAGGAGCCGAGCTGCCCGCCATCGACGAGTTGCTGGCCCAGATCGGCTTCCTGTGGCTGCCAGGTTCAGGGGTTCAAACGTTTAGGGTTTAGGGTTTGGGGTTTGGGGTTTAGGGTTTAGGGTTTCGGGCGGTTTCAAGGCTTACAGGTCGGGGTGGGTTCTTGAGGCTTATGGGTTAGGGTTTGCGGTTCAAACTAAAGGTTTTGGGGTTTTGGCTTGATGGTTCAGGGCTTCGAAGGTTTTGGGTTTCGGGTTAGGAGCCAGGGTGTAGGGTTGACGGAACGATTGGAGGTTTAAAGGTTTGGAGGGATGACGGTTTAGGGTTTAGGGTTTAGGGTTTAGGGTTTGGAGTCTGGGTTCAGGATCCTTTCTTCTTGGGTTCAGTTTTGGGTATCGTTTTTTAAGGGAAGTGCTATGGCCTCTTTCAAGATGATCCCTTAACTTCTCTAAAGGGTTCTAAAGTATGGGCCCTATAGAGTACATGAGGGGTGTATCCCTTGGAGTTAGGTGTTGCCTAGGGCTTCAAGGACAAGTGGTTTCTCTCTTGCTGGAAGTCGGTGCACTTCAGCTTCACGCTTTGGGGGTTCTGGTGGGTTGTCTACTCGTACCAACAGCCTAAAGGGAGCCTTCAAGAAGTAGGGTTTAGGGTTAGGGCCGGGTTTAGTCTTTGTAGCAAAAGCCTATAGGAGCCTTCAACAATTAGTAAATTAGGGTTTAGGGTTTGGGTTTTTTTGTAGCCCTACGCTGTTGCCTTCCCCACCCGTGGGTGGGACCTTGACGGCCGAGGACCGGGCTCCTCTAGGGTCCTGAGTGGCTTCCTGCTGGCAGGCATCGTTCGTGAGTCCTTAAGTCGTTTAGCCCTGATATGTAAGTCCTGTATAAGCCCTATGTAAGCCCCATAAACAAATAAAGAAATAAGCAAATAAACAAATATATAAGCAAATAAATAAGTTAATCAATAGATAAAGAAATAAATCAATAAATAAATAAAGAAAAAATAAATAATTACATATGAGCACTATAAAAAGGTGTATGAACCAGAAATTTCAGCCTTTGCGCCCACAAAGCGCGAACCCCAACGCCAATACCTGCCATCCCGGCATCGGGGAGCCAGGCCTTGAGTGGACCTGTTGCAGTAGGAGGAGCCCTAAACCCTAAACCCTGAATCCTAAACCCTAAACCCTAAACCCTAAACCCTAACCCTAAACCCTAAACCCTAAACCCTAAACCCTAAACCCTAAACCCTAAACCCTAAACCCTAAACCCTAAACCCTAAACCCTAAACCCTAAACCCTAACCCTACAAGGGCGTGGTGTCCGGTGTACAGTGTACAGCGTACAGGTCCTCAGCGACAGTTCGTTGGTTCCGTAAGATCATGGTCCTTTTCTTTCGGAGCGGGGCGGCTCCGAACTCAGTACGATCCGGAGCCTTATACTTAGGGGCCCTAAACCCATCCAAACCCTGAACCAAAAAGGGACCATGATTCAAAGCACTGGCTAATTGTGGGCGACTCCCCCTGCGCAGGAACCATCGTGCGGCACGGAAAACGACCCTCCAGCTGCCTAAACCTGATCCCAAAGTTATGGTCCCCCTTAAGTACCCCAAGTATGAGGCCCCGTATTCTGATAGGAACCCCCGAAAGAGGCCGTGATTAGAACAGACCGTATGCCGCGTGCCCTTTTTCGCTTTGAGGGGTGCTGCTGCCATCGTCGCTGCATCGCCAAGCACAAGCCGTCGGCGTGTTTTTGGCCCAGACCTGCTGGTCAAGCTACAAGACCCAGTTCGCACATCTTGCTTCCGTTGCATCTATGCCATGACTTGTACTCGTCACCCTAGACCCGAAACCCTCAACCCTAAACTCTTAGCCCTAAACCCTAAAACCTTAAACCCTAAAACCCTAAACCCTAAGCCTTCCCCTACTTGGAAGCTAGTCGAGTGAATCCGATCTTGACCATCGCCTATTGCATTCATCGCCAGAGCCAACTTTAGGACTCTCGCGTGCGATGCTCACAGGCTTTCCGCCAGGCAAGTAGGTTTGATGCAAAACCGACGATCTTGATGGTCGTCATTTTGCAGCTGTTTTAGTTGCAGTTTGTTTGGTTTTAGCCCGGCAGCTAGAAGTCCGTCCGAAAGAATTTGATGTGGTGCGAAGGCGAACAGCATGGACGAAACCAGTGATCAGCCATGGGTGCTCTGGTCAATGGGATACAGTGGTACAGTAGCATGAACCCTAACCCTAAACCCTAAAGGTTCACGTCAGGAAGCCTTCGAACCCGAAGAAACAGAAAAAGAAGTGGGACCCTCAACTTAGCTGTTGGACCCTGATGCAGGGGCCTATATTACCCTGCATGTATTCCCTAAATATCATAAACGCGCCCCAAAGTACCCATTTCAATTCGATAGTCACCTATATTACCCTGCACGAGAGGCAAGTATACTTCACCGCGCCGACCGTGAGCCCAAGTCATTTTGGAGAGCATCCCTCTCCGAGACCCTAAGACCTAAACCCGTATGTTTCGGCTCCGATGTCACGATGTAGAAAGCCATGAAGCACTGAACTCTCCGTCCGCAAATTCTCACACCCTAGATCTACAAGTTCTTAAATACCAAAGGCCATCGGCCCTAGTAAACCCCACCCAAAGCGCTAAACCATAAACCCTGAACCCTGAACCCTTAAACCCTAAACCCCCTAAACCTCTAAACCCTAGACCCTAAACCCTAGACCCTAAACCCTAAACCCCCGACCCCAAACCTCAGCCCCCGAACCCCAAGCCGGCGAGGCCACCGAAAGCTCCCAGCAGAAGCTACACTCGAGCATCTCTTCGGAGATGCCACTTTCCAGGCGAGCCAGTTGAGGGTTCTCAGGTAGGGTTTAGGGTTAAGGGTTTAGGGTTTAGGGTTTGGGGTTTAGGGTTTAGGGTTTCGGGTTTAGGCTGTGAGGTTCGTCTGAGCCTCTGTTGCCCAAGCAGCATAATGTCCTGGAGAAAAACGGCGTTGTCCATTCATTTCGTTGAGAGTTAGCTTTGTCATACGACTGCCTGCAGGTCCTCTTCTACCCTAAGCTTATCCTAGACCCTATCCGGCTGAAATTTAGGCCCAGGCAGTCTAGACTCTAGACCCTAATGTCCAAACCCTGGGCTGTGTTGACAGCTTAAAAATCCCCAAACCCTACATCCTTAAACCCCCGCTCCCTGAATCCCAAGCCTTCCACCAGTTTCAATCCTCTCGAAATTCTAAACCCTAAACCTCAAGCCCTAAACCCGAAACCCTCACAACATGCACCTCTCAGGGTGGGGGGTCGCTGGTGCAACTGCTGCGTGCCCGCCGCCCGGGAGCTCAGTGTTTCTCTTCTGCGCGGGGCCGGTTTGCCGTTTCGTCAAGGTTTAGGGTTTAGGGTTTAGGATTTAGGGTCTAGGGTTTAGGGTTTAGGGTGTAGGGTCTAGGGTTTAGGGTTTAGGGCCTTCACCCTAAGCCCCTGAACCTTAAGGGGTTGGTGTTGGAAGGGTTTGGGCAGAGCTTGAGCGCGGAAGACATTTTTTGAGAGCATGTTCTACACTTTTGAGTGTTGTTTCACGATCTACCGCCGAAATTCCGTAGCTTTGAGCTTTCGTACAGCGCGTCTTCTGAAGTCACAAAGTTGGACTTCGGCATGCTTTAGGTTGGGTGCTAAACTTTGCACTCCCATGTACATGCACCGTTTTGTAGATACCCTGGGGTTCCGGGAAGGCTGCTTAGTGTTTCAAGGGGTCAGCGCAGAGTTCGGGCCGAGATGTTCCCCGATAGGGGGGTGCTATAACTAGGTAGTTGCTTGTTGCCATCGGCTTGTAAGTCCACCCTCAACCCTAAACCCTAAACCCGCTCAAAACCCTCAAGCAGAAGCCAATACCGTTTATCTCCAAAGCTGCGAGCCCTACATAACCCATCCAGACTTAAAAAGCCCTTGCATCCCACCTCCGTCCACAATCCCTAAACCGGACCCTAAACCCAAAACCCAAAACCCAAAATCCTCAACCCTCAAACCCGAACCCCCAACCCCCAACCCTCAACCCTCAACCCTCAACCCTCAACCCTCAACCCTCAACCCTCAACCCTCAACCCTCAACCCTCAACCCTCAACCCTCAACCCAACCCTCAACCCTCCCAACCCCCCCCCCCCCCACAATCAGCGCAGGCCTCACGAGTCTGAAAGACTTCGTCTGCGTGCCGCCGTGGGAGCTGCGGGACTGGCTCCTCATCACCGAGGCTGGGGCCGGGGGGATGCCGAAGCTTGGTGCGGGGTTTAGGGTTTAGGGTTTAGGGTTTAGGGTTTATTGTTTAGTGATTTGGGTTTTGTGGTTTGGGGTTTGGGGTTTATGGGGCTTATATCTCAGGCTTTATGGGATGTCGTAGAGAAGGACCCTAGCTTTAAAGCCAGTACTTGGGCTCATGAGTTGAGGGTTGAGCCTGAGCTACTAGTCACTAACACAATTACAAAATGACCGTTATTGCTGCTGTTGCTATGACTGTTACTGTTCCTAGTCTTATTTTTGATATTGATTTTACTTGTGGCACTTACTATTACTATTTATTCTTATTCTGACTACTACTACTACTACTAGTATGACGATGCCTATGACTATGATTAATGACTATGACTATGATCTATGAGCATGAACTATGACTAATGACTAATGACTAATGACAATGACAGTGACTGTGACTATGACTTATTTCTATGCCCATGACGTGCTAATACTCCTACTACTGCTTCTCTTCTCTCTCTCTCTCTCTTACTCTTACCTTTACTCTTACTCTTACCCTTACTCTTACTCTTACTCTTGCTCTTGCTTTTGCTCTTGCTCTTGCTCTTGCGCCTTCTCCTACTCCTGCTCTTACTCTTACTCTTGCTCTTGCTCTTGCTCTTACTCTTAACCCTAAACCCTAAGCCCTAAACCCTAAACCCTAAACCCTAAACCCTAAACCCTAAACCCAAAACCCTAAACCCTAAACCCTAAACCCTAAACCCTAAACCCTAAACCCTAAACCCTGAACCCTGAACCCTGAACCCTGAACCAAAGATCCCCAAACGGGCACAGGAGGAGGCCACCGAGCTGCTAAGCTTCGCCTGGGCAGCTGCGGCCGCGCCGGTGATCTCTGCCTGGGAGCGGCTGCTGGAGGGTTTTCTTGTTTAGGGTTTAGGGTTTGGGGTTTAGGGTTTAGGGTTTAGGGGTTTAGGGGTTTAGGGGTTTAGGGGTTTAGGGGTTTAGGGGTTTAGGGCTTAGGGCTTAGGGCTTAGGGTTTAGGGTTTGTTCATGGGATAGCTAAAGCCCGGTGCTAGAAGTTCTGTTTTACGAAACCCTATCGAATCTCTGCAGATGTGATCCTCCGAGATAGCCTCCGCTGCCACACTGAACTCCTTTCAGGATTTGGCGGCAGATGGCGAGGCAGTTGCACAGTACGGACCTGAGCATGTTCAAGATTCAGCTTTCCATTGCTGCTTCTGGCCGACGCCAGCATCTTCCCGAACAAAAACCCCGAACCCTAACTTTTTAAATCCCTCCACCCCGAAGCCCCGAACCCTAAACCCTGAGCCCCGAACCTTAAACCCTCAGCCCTTCCAGGCCCGTGCCCGGCCCTTTACCGACGCTGAGCCGGGCGCTGGGTGCCGGCGGCCTCTCCGCAGCGCTGGTGGAGGCAGGGAGAGGTTTCGAGGGGCTTGGGGCTCAGAGGGTATAGGGGGTTCTAGGGTTTTAGGGTTTAGGGTTTTGAGTTCAGGGTTTAGAGTTCAAGGGTTTAGGGAGGGTTTAGGGTTCAGAGGGTATGCGGTAAACTCCCGAAAAGTGGAAGATCATTCTCCTCCCACCCCAAAGAGGGTTGCTCAAGAATCCCCGCAGTAATCGTCCTTCAACCATGTTCCAGCTTGATGGGGTTCAGGGTTTCAGGGCTTAGGGTTTAGGCTTGCAGCGTTTATGGTTTCGGGGTCTTGGTTTGTCCTGTTTTAGGGTTGTAGGGTGGGTTGCGGTGATATGGACATGAGATAGGTTGCTTCCAAGAATAATTTCACATACCCCAACCCCGTACCCCTTAACCTATAAAAGGGGAATGCAAGGAACGATTTTACCATACCCCTTGATTTTCCTCTAAGGGTATGCCCAAGGAGTATGTTGAACATTTCTTAGATTGCTTGTGGTGCATTCAAATTGGCATTCTTTTGCGATGCAGTGCATGTAGTGTGCACTATGTATCCGCTGTTTGCGTTTGTAGATGTCAACAATGACGGACAATGGGAGTAAGTGATGCAAGAGCAGTTAACTTGCAAGCAATACACAGATTCCCAATTACAAAATTACTCAAGTTGGCGGTTGATGACTATTGAACTGCTGTGCTGTTGGCGTCTTTTCGATATGGTGATTGCTACTGACTACTCTAACCTGTGATTTTTACCCTGCTGGTCTTGCTGTGATTGTCATGATTGTCCTTTACCTCGGGCTTGTGTTGGCTTAACCTCAGGTGCAGGGGATGTGGGGGTGTGTCGTGGGGCGATTTGATTCTCAGGTCCTGAAGACTAAAGCCCTAGATGCTGAAAGGCCCTCGGAGCCTCTAAACCCAAAGCTCATGAGAGTCCTAAACCCCACTCTTTTCAGACGAAGCCGAGATTACCCAATCCTATCCACGCTAGTTTAACGCTTTACTGTTCGGGGTCCTGATTTTGGGCCTTGGGGACCCTAAACACTAAACCCTAAACCCTAAATCCTAAACCCTAAACCCTAAACCCTGAACCCTGAACCCTGAACCCTAAACCCCTAAACCCCTAAACCCCTAAACCCCTAAACCCCTAAACCCCTAAACCCCTAAACCCCTAAACCCCTAAACCCCTAAACCCCTAAACCCCTAAACCCCTAAACCCCTAAACCCCAAACCCCAAACCCCAAACCCTAAACCCGAAATGGGTTTGGCGGCAAGTTCGCTCCCGGGATCAGGTGGCTGGGCCGCCGGGCGTCGGCAAGACGCAGTCTTTGGCCTACAGGTTGTTAGGGTTTTTAGGGCTGTAGTTTTTGGGGTGTTGGGTATTTTTGGGTTTTAGGGTGGGGTTTTGGGGTTTTTAGGGTTTTCAGGGTTTCAAGGTGGTAGGGTTTTAGGGAGGGTCGTAGGTGTTTATGGTTTTAGGCTGTTCTTTTTCTGCCTCCTTTTCGAGCAAGGGGGGGTTGGATGTGAGTTTTAATGGCAGCTTGAAGGGGTTTCTCAGGAAGGGCTTCAAGGCCCCCCCCCCCCCCCCCCCCCCCCCCCCCCCCCCCCCCCCCCCCCCCCCTTCCCTTCCCCTCCCCCCCTCCCCCCGCCCCCTTCAAGCCCCTCCAACCCCGTTTAGGCCGGAGCTGGGGCTGGGTTTCATGTGAAGGCACTGAATCGCCTTGAAATTCGGGTTGCATGTGTTTTGGGTTTTAGGGTTAAGGTGTTAGGAATCTGGGGTTGAGGTTTTAGGGAGTTAAAAGGGGTCTTAGGCCCGCGAGCCCCTTTCTCCGAAATGGGGCTCTCTCTTTTTGAATCCGAAGCGTAGGCCCGAAAACCCTAACCCTAAACTCAAAACCCGCAGCCGTCGACGCGATCTTCAGGTTCTGTCTGCACGCCGCAGCGCTGACTGCTTCCCGTGGCCATGACGTGGCTTGTCGAGGTTGTTCTGAGTTCTTACTTGGTCCCTTTCTGGGGGCCCTGTTACAACCTATGAGTGGGACCTTCTGAAGGGGGCCGGCCCTAGTTTTGAACAACCCCGTGATGGGTCTCGTGATCGCTCTGATCATTTCCGCCCGTGTGGCCTCGTAACTGATCATGTGTGTTGGTAGAGTCAGTCAACCATACTCTCCAGACCCGATGCCCTAAAACCCTAAACCCTAAACCTCAAATCCTGAAAGCCCTAAACCATAAACCCCAAACACAAACCCCAAGCCCAAACCCTACACCCCAAACCCAAGGTGTTCTGGGTGGACACAGAGCGGACGTTCTCTGCGCAGAGGCTGTGCGAAATGCCCAAGCCCTGGCTGAGGTGCAGAGGCAGGCCCTCCCTTCCCCCGAAACAAAGAGCAACAAAACGAGCTCCAAGCCTTAAACCCTAAACCCTAAACCCTAAACCCCAAACCCTAAACCCTAAACCCCAAACCCTAAACCCTAAACCCTAGACCCTAAACCCTGCCTAGACCCCTAAGCCCGTAGTTAAGGACAAATCCCAAAAACCCTGCACGTCCCAGGTTAGAAGCACAGATCGCCGCAGAAGGGAGAGCCCGGCCACAGGAGGCTCGCGGTTTAGGGTTTAGGGTTTAGGGTTTAGGGTTTAGGGTTTAGGGTTTAGGGGTGGGTTGACTCCTGTTTGCTTTTCCTCGTGGTGCGGAGGTTCCTGGCCCAAGCATCCCCCAAGACTGCGAGTGGTTGAGCGCTGATGAATGCGCGCGTTGTGCCGTCTTGGGGCGCCCAACCATAAACCCCAAACCCTAAACCCTAAACCCTAAACCCCAAAATTCTGAACCCGTTGCTTCACTCCTGCCCGCCCCCTCCATGGGGATGACCGGACACCGCCGCAGCCCACGCAGGTCACCCAGGCAGCCATGCAAGCAATGCAAAGAATTAAGCACCGCGTTGGGGCCTCAGCCTGGAACCAACCTGGCTTAAATCATGTTACTTACTTATGAATACTTCAAACCCAATAAGGAACAAACATGATCATTTTGAAACAGTGCCCCCAACAATGGTGGAGTTAGGGTTTTGGCTTTGGGGAAAGGCGGGTCCCTATCCCTTAAGGCCCCCCTAAGGCTTGCCGCCTGGAGCTCGACACCCCCTCGAAACCTTAGTTGCAGCTTAGGCAAAGGCAAGCTCTCAGCTCTCACGGATTAGGGTTTAGGGTTTAGGGTTTGGGGTTTAGGGCTTCGGGTCTCTGGCCCTAAGCCCTGAGCCCTCAACTCGAAGAACTGAGGCCTGCAGCTCTCTACAAGAGCTGCATGATGTTTGCTCGGAGTTGGCGGGGCGAGCTCTTCAGGGCGGTCCACTACCTGGCCTGTTGGCTCGGCGCTGAGGGAGTGGATCTTGGTTTACTGGTCAATTCGTGCGCCTTTGTGGCCTACGTAGTTGGATGCTCTACTAGCTGGCGTGGGCATTCTCATGATATCGCTCTCCGTTGCATGTGTCGCTGCGTGATAGTGTGGGAGTTTAGGTTGGCAAAGTCTTTAGCAATTCGGCTCGTATTGGCACGTTGCGGTGCACTTTGCTGAAATGTAGATATCGTGCTGAACACAAATGCGGGTGCGTTCATCAGCTGGCGGCCGTATCCCTGAAAGTCCTCTGGGGACCGCGTTTCTTTTTTGCTTCTGCAAGCTCCTGGACAACGTCTAAACCTTTAAACCCTGAACCTTTAAGCCGTAAACCTTCAACCTCGAAGCCCCAAATTCTAAAGCTTTATCAACCCTTTAATCAAGCCCTACCTGTTGTACTTACAACAATACTTATAACAATATTAGGGCACTTAAGGGGCTCATAGGCTAATAGGTGGGTTATAAGTACAGGTTATAATTGGTTAGTAAGTACAACATGAACCTCCAAGTACCGTTTCCGAGGTAATCGACAGCGTGGCAGCAGTGGCCCGTGTGGATGGCACGGGGGACCGGCGGGCGCAGATCCCTCGCCGCCAGGCTCAGGGTAGGAACATTCAGATAGAACTGGTAGGTTCCCTAAACAGGGGTTTCCGAAATTGAGGGTACCGAATTGGGGTCCGTACAAAAAGGAATGCCTACTATTTGGGGTCCATATTCGGGGTCCCTGTTCGTAAACCCCCAAATGGGTATTTCCCAAAATAGGGGTACCCCTTGTCTGCCCCAAACAGAATCGAATCCCCCTAACCCCCCAAAAAGGGCACCCCTATTTTCGGAAACCTGCGGTTTAGGGTTTAGGTTGAAGGCCCCTTATTGCAGGGTTAGGGTTTTGAGGCTTTCGCCCTGCACCCCCGACTGGCCATAAACTAGCTCGCAGAGACCATTTCTATTTTCTAATCATGCACCCCCCCCTAGCACCCAAACCATAGCAACCTATACCTCAAACCCAAATGATGAAAACCATACCATGGAACCACGCAAAACCCCAAAGGAAATAGCATACTCAACCCCATAGCACCGCCCGATAGAAAACTCAGAACAACCAACCCGAAACCCCTAACCCTACAAAATGGACATGGTCTTCTCAAATAATCTATCTATACCGTTTAGGAATAAGGTTGCAACGGTAATGAAGCCACAGATTTGAGAGTAATACCTACTGTACATCACACTAGTGGTGCTTCGGCATGTTTTTCGGCGCCGCTGTGACGCCTCAGTCCAAGTTCAACAGTCTGTGATTGCCTTGCCCTCGCTCATAGAAAATAGCATCAACTACTTGTCCACATGGGCGTCTTTCCGCATCAAGCACGCCCTTTCAGGACCACTTCTTCCCGTATGCATCTCTCAGTCGTTATGAAAGCTGTCCTGGTACTTGCCACTTTCTCCCGTACATTCAAGACGGCAAGGAGCTTTTTTCTGCCAGTCCCCGCTGGCTACAAGCACGTTCTTGTGCTGTGTCAGTCGCGCTTCGCTCTGATGCATCTTCAACGTGTTGGATTCTTGTCCAAGAACATGCCTAGATGGACTGAGACTTGCCACCTCCCCACCACCCTACGGGAAGTTTCGAGTTTCCTGCAACCGTTATAGCAATTGTGTCACGAGGAAAGGTGGTTTGATAGCCTGCAGTGCATGCACCGGACATGGGCAGTGTCACTTGCCAGCAGGTTTGGGACCAGCTTTGGCAGTCGCAGCGGGCGGTGATCATACTTGTGCAGTGTGGGCAGATGGTCGGCTCATCTGTTTTGGACGAAATGGCGATGGGCAGTGTGATGTGCCAGCACACTTGGGACCAGTTTTGGCCGTCGCAGCTGGCGGTCGTCGTGCTTGTGCAGCGTGGGCAGATGGTCGGCTCATCTGTTTTGGACGGAATGACGCTGGGCAGTGTGACGTGCCAGCCGATTTGGGACCAGTTTTGGCAGTCTCAGCTTGCGGTGATCATACTTGTGCAGTGCGGGCAGATGGTCGGCTCGTCTGTTTTGGACGAAATGGCGATGGGCAGTGTGATGTGCCAGCACACTTGGGACCAGTTTTGGCAGTCGCAGCTGGCGGTCGTCGTACTTGTGCAGTGCGAGCAGATGGTCGGCTCATTTGTTTTGGACGGAATGACCTTGGGCAGTGTGATGTGCCAGCAGATTTGGGACCAGTTTTGGCAGTCGCAACTGGCCGTGATCATACTTGTGCAGTGCGGGCAGACGGTCGGCTCGTCTGTTTTGGATGGAATGGCGATGGGCAGTGTGATGTGCCAGCCGATGTGGGGCCAGTTTTGGCAGTCTCAGCTTGCAGTGATCATACTTGTGCAGTGCGGGCAGATGGTCGGCTCATCTGTTTTGGACGGAATGACGATGGGCAGTGTGATGTGCCAGCAGATGTGGGGCCAGTTTTGGCAGTCGCAGCTGGCCGTGATCATACTTGTGCAGTGCGGGCAGATGGTCGGCTCATCTGTTTTGGATGGAATGGCGATGGGCAGTGTGATGTGGACAACCGCTGATCACTCACAAAAGAGATACTGAGTTCCAAGGTGACCTTCGCCTGTTTAAATATTCACAGTAGCTTCACCATCGTGGCCAGCCCCTTGACCTTACGCAGTTTAGATAAGTGGCCGACGTGGGATCACGAATCACAGGGTATATCTCTGAAGCAATGCAGCTCGAAGGCCCTGCTGAGCAGCTTGGCGAGCCAGCTCAAGGCGCGGCACGTGACATGGCTGGCTGCTTGAAGTCTCCCCGTGACTTTCAAAGAACATCCCGAAGCTCCCAGACCTGAAATCTTAACACCCAGAAACCATCAGAGACCCTATACCTTGGGATGTTTCCCCTTATACTAACAGTCGGGATTATAGTACCCCGCCTGTTCTAGTCCCTCTTAAGGACTGCTTGTAGAAGGGGGAACATCCCAACCTATACCCTAACCCTAAGCCCTAAGCCTAAGCCCTAAACCCTAAGCCCTAAGCCCTAAGCCCTAAGCCCTAAGCCCTAAGCCCTAAGCCCTAAGCCCTAAGCCCTAAGCCCTAAGCCCTAAGCCCTAAGCCCTAAGCCCTAAGCCCTAAGCCCTAGCCCTAAGCCCTAAGCCCCTAAGCCCTAAGCGCTGAACCCTAAACCTTAAACCCTAAACCCTAGACCCTAAACCCTAAACCCCTGATCCCAAGCTCAGAGGTCCTGGTGGCAAGGCCCCGACAGCGGCGGTCCCAGGACGGAATCAAGACGTCCAAACCTTGTTCGTTACAGGGTTTGGGGGGGCTTTAGGGTTTTACGGGTTTAAGGTTTTGGGTTTAGGGCCAAGGCTTGTGATTGCGGTTGTCGAGAATTCAGGCTCCTAGAATATGGCCGGTTCTGTGCTCCTGTTATGCTGCGGCTGGTCATATACTTGTCTAACCCCAAAATGGGACAAGGTAGGGGGCGAATCTGAACTCTTTAGGGGTTGAGGGTTTCACAAAAGGGGCCCAAGTTAGAGTATGTTCCTGGGAGTCTAGGGTACCAGGAAGGGCCCACATAGTAAATCAGAGCACTTCCGAACGTACTTCCCGCATCGTGAATTGCAAGCCCTAAGTCTGAGTTGAAGGTTCAAGTGGTACTTATGGCTGAGTTGCATTTTGAAGCCCTGTGACCTAAATCTTGTTTGTAGTGCTGAAAGGTACATGGGTTAGTATGGGTAGGGTGATAAGGAAACTTATTTTCTAATCGAGGTACGCATAGCCCAACTAAGAACTACCCATCAAGTACATCTAACCCAACTGCCTATAAACCTTCCGGTGAGGAGTCGCAAGCCATGTCCCCGGGAGTCGCAGCAGCCTCGAATCGCAGTCCACAGGTTTAGGGTTTAGGGTTTAGGGTTTAGGGTTTTGGGTTTTGGGTTTTGGGTTTGCAGTTAAGGGAGCCCCATGCGGATGCGAGGTCGTGACCAACCAAGTCATGGGGGACCCCACCGCCGGAATTAGTCGAGTCACTCTTGGCCACGCGACTCCGGCTCGGCTGACTCGACTGGACCCTTGACCCCCTAAGCCCTAAACCCTAAGCCCTAAGCCCTAAACCCTAAACCCTAAACCCTAAACCCTAAACCCCACACCCTAAACCCTAAGCCTTAAACCCTAAACCCTGAACCCGCCTCCTGCCAGGTTTGGCACCATTCCGTTAACTGGCGACTGGTGCTCAGCCATTTGCCACCAGGACAGAGAGCTCAGCGGCGCTGAGTGTGATTTCAGGGGTTTTGCAAGGGTGTCATAAGGGCTTAGTAGGGGCTTTGTAGGGTTCGATGGGTTGAAGGTTCAGGGCCGAGGGTGTACCCTTTGGAGAGGGGCAGTTGCGTTCTTGCGATGGGGTCTGGCATTCTGGCTCAGCGACTGCCTTAAACCCTAAACCCTAAACCCTAAACTCAAACCCCAAACCCTAAGCCCTAAGCCCTAAACCCTAAACCCTAGGCACTACACCCTAAACCCTAAACCCGCAGGATCTGCAGAAGGTCCTGGAAGCAAGGAGCAAGCAGATCCCTTTGGCCGTCGGTACTTGCTGGCCAGAGCCTTGGGAATGACATGTTTCAAAAGACGGCTTATGGGTTTAGGGTTGGGGGTTTAGGGTTTAGGGTTTAGAGTTTAGGAACTCAGACTCCCAGTCCTGCCAGGTCGAGAAGAGCCCGTCCTTCAAGTCTGTGGCTGTCCAGTCAGGGCCTGAGCATTCACAGAGAGGCATGGTCCGAGCTCGGACACAACTCTTCCAATCGAGATACCTGCAACTACAATGGCCTTAGTGCAGCTGTGACTGTACATTTTTAACAATACCATTCGCAAGCTCAGGCCCTAACTGTTGTGGATCATGTCGTGCCTCCTTGCGATGCCGAGAGTGCTGGCTCCGAGCAGCTATGTAGATTGCGAGCGCCAAAGGACGCCACCCTCGCAGCTCACAGATGGCTCCCGATGCCAAGACTGAGTCGGCCCAGCCCGACGGGAGCAAGACCGAAGAAGGCAAGACCGAAGAAATCAAGACCGAAGACAGCAAGACCGAGCAGAGCAAGGCCGAAGAGGGCAAGGCTGAAGAGGGCCAGGTCGGGGCAGACCCAGCTTCCAAGGACCCACGAATATGTTTCAGAGGATTTTTAACATCCTAGAAATAGCATTCCCTTCGGATCCCTAAAAATATATATAAGAAACCTCATCATCAGTATTCCCTTATGATCCCTCTATAAGAAACCTCATTCTTCTCAGCTCCCAAGGATGCAGCTCCCAGGGACGTGATCTCCGCGATGGAGCCAGCTGGGCGGAGTGCGGAGGAGCGTGTCGAGCTGGCCATGCCACTTTGTCATAGGTTGGGTACCATTTTTTTGCATTTTAAGGGTACTTAAACCCAATAAAGAATATACATTTTATATCTTTAAGGGTGCTTAAACCCAATAAGGAATGTACCCATTAAAATTTTTAGTATCATCCCAACAATGAACTAGGCAATACTTCGAGCCAGTGGGGAAGAAGCGCAAGCTCGATGTCTCCCTCCGGGGGTTTGCGCCGGAGCTTCTTTGCAATGCGCCCTCCAACATTCAGACTTGTCGGAGCTTGCTGCTCTTCCTGGAGAAGAAAATACTGCAGAGCAATGCTTCGCTCTCAGCCCCAGAAGTTCAGGGCCCGGAGGACCTGAAGCACGAGCTTGAGAAGTTTGCTGAGGAAGCCGGGCGTGCAACGGCCATCGACAAACCAGGTGCCTACGACGCACGCGTCAGGCGCGTGTTGGACCTGACCGCGCTACTTGGAACTCCTGAGGTCAAGGAGCTTGTGAACTCCACTCGAACAAGGCTGCGGGAAAGGATGCATCAGCTCAATCTGCAGCTCAAAGAGCGAGGGGAGTTGGACGTGGAGACGCTGACAAAGCAGCGGCAAGCTTGGGCAGAGGGGCTTCTCCGGCGAGACTGGCTGGCATGGTGCGAGCGCTTGCTTCAGGCCCGAGAAGCTAATTTGTTGCGCGCTGGCAACCAGCCTCTCAAGGAGCAGTGCTCGGAGCATTTGACTGCTGGGCACGTCGTGACTTCGCTGCTGAGTGGCTGAGCTTTCATCGGCTCTGAGAGGGCTTCGAACATCTGCAGCCGCCGGGCTCGGCGTGGGCTCGGCGCGGGCTCGGCGAGTGCCCAACCACATCAGCAGACGAGGAGATGGCGAGAGCAAAGATGGACGTCCTTGCTGCGCGGATGCAGGACGTCCCAGAACGCCGTGGGCTGCTTGACAACCGTCTCACAGGATGGATCCTTGTACGAATCCTCGAAAAGTTCTTGCTGGGTATGCTGCCGACCTTGCAGGTCATTGTGTATAAGCCTGGTCAGTGCTCATGATTCAGCTGTCCTTGCACATGCCTTCAGCCCGAACGGGTGCGCAGAGTCAGCATAAGCCAGGACTCAATCCCAAGCCCAAGTCCGTCCTCCCAAACTCTCCTGCTGCCAAGGTTTGCCATCAAGGACAGTGGCCTCTGCGAGCAGGGTGCCGTGCAGTGAGGAAAGAAGTGCGCTAGCAACATTATGCTCTGCTGCGGTGGTTTGGGGAAGGCCCGAGGGCCTGTGGGGAGGGCACGCCTGGCAAGGTTGTCGGAGCAGGATGCTCATCGGTATGAGAAGCCAGGCCAAGCTTACGACTTCCGCAGCCATTTAAAATTTATGTTTCAGATACAGCTGATTCAGCTAGACGCTAGCTCCTCTGCCCCCCATGGGGATCTTTTCTTCAAGCCGCTTCCTGTGCTGCTTTGTGCTGCTGGCAGTGGTGACGAGCAACAGCTGGACGGAGCTTTCTCCTCCAAGTGGTCCGCCAACCACGACCAGACACTCAATGTTGTGGGACAGCGCCGGCCAAGGACTTCTCATGTTTGGTGGGCAGGTGCAGCCGAGTAAGGCATTCGTCAACGACCTGTACTTCTATAGTGTGAGCCTGAACACGTGGAGCTTGAAGTCCTCGACTCTGCGCCAGAGGGCCGACACCTTCACGCTGCTGTCATAGATGAGACAGCAAGGGTGATGTCTCTGGCGGATCGAAGCGGGAGCGTAGTTCAACAACCCCCAACAGCCTCTTCAGTGACTTGTTTCGCTACGATGTCGCCATGGACGCCTGGACTCAGCTGTCGAGCCACACGACTACGCGAGCACGCCATGCAGCAGCCTGGAATAGCAACTCGGACCGCATGATTGTGTATGGCGGAGAGGCCGATGACATGTGCTCAACGACCTGTTGGAGTACGATGCTTCAGCCGACGCATGGAGCTCGCCCACTGTAACTGGAACCACTCCCGAGAGGGCGCCATACGGCCGCAGCTGTATGGGACCCTGCAGCTGGTGTCTTGCTCATGTGCTGCGGAAGAGGAGTAGACCTAGTCTACAGCCCGTTTACGAACATCGCAGACACACGATACAACGATGTATGGAGCTGTGCCGATGGCTCAGGATGGACTCAGCTGCTGCAATCAGCAAGCTTTGAGCAACGATTTGGGGTTGGAGCTGTCTGGGATGGAGCCACGCGCTCGATGATCGGGTACGGTGGGTACCGCGCGAACTACTTGGATACGGTGTTCTCCTACTCGAGCACAATGGGCACTTGTACACCATCGCCGGGGCTGGGCCGGGTGCAATGTCTGCCATTGCCGTGGCTTGGAATCCTGGCGCTTCCGAGCTCTACATGTTTGGAGGATACGGGCCCTCTTCGGGTGGCAATGATAAGCGTGGCGCTTGGACAGCACCCAGGATGTGCTGGTTGCTGCCTGCCCGAGCTTCGGAATCCGCCTTTCTGCTTTTTGGGTGTCCGAGAGTTCTCCCGTGTTCTGCCGCTTGCGGGTTCGTCCCTCTTCGCATTCGCAAGGGGTGTTGTGGGGGAGGGGGTGGTGAAGGACGGCGAAGGATTTTGATCACTCATTCTCCTCTGAAGTCTAAACCCGAAGCAGCACCCACTCAGGTGATGTTGGCCCTTGTGCAGCAACGTCGCGTGATCGTCCGGGACTTCTGGACTTCTGAAATGAGGGCACGGCAGCTGCGCGTATGGCGCAGGAGGCAGCTGACCTTCTGGGCCCTTTGGTTTTCAATCTTTGCATTCTTTGTGCTTTGCATCTTGTCGTGTCTGGCTAACGTGGGCACGCTCGATGCCGCCAAGTGGCTGGAAAGCACAGGCATGAGTGTTCTGCAAGACCTTGCTCTAAAGCCCATGCTCCTTGCAGTATGTCAAAGACAACGTCGCGCAGCAGCAGATACATCTGGACGAGGTGAACATCGCTTTCGTAGAAGACGCGCCGAGTGCAGATAGCCCACCCTCGCCAAGTTGTCTCGAAGAGACAGGCTCGGATGTCGGCAGCCTGCATGCCGATTGCTTTTAAATTCATACCTAAATTCATACCTAAATTCATACCTAAATTCATACCTCCTTTTTGCTTGATAAACATTTTCCAGACAGCCGCTGCAGAAGCAAAATTCGTTTTGAGACACACTCCCAACACTGGACCCCCAAATGCCTGAGTCCATAAAGCACTGCGCAACGATAGCCCCCCCCCGGTCCCGCCATAACATGTGAGTAAATAAGCGTACAAACTTTGATTTTTTTCAAAGTAGTTTTTTGGCACCACGTCTGTATACATATATATATATATATATATATATGAGAGAGGGACCTTTATGTACTATGTTGCCACTGGTTTTCTTTTATATATCAAATATAAGAGTCATTTACACTCTTTTAATATTTATGGAAGCAAACAAATTTAAATAATTGAATCAATTGAATTAATTGAATTCTTGGGGGATATCCAGAATTCAAATAATTTAATTAATTGAATTAATTGTATTCTGGGGGGGGCCCCAGAATTCAATTAATTCAATGAATTGAATTATTTGAATTCTGGGGCCCCCCCCAGAATTCAATTAATTCAATTCTTTGAATCTCTGACCTTGAGCCAGACCAATTGAATAATTCAATTAATTCAATTAATTCAATTAATTCAATTAATTCAATTAATTGAATTAATTGAATTCTGGGGCCTCCCCCAGAATTCAAATAATTCAATTAATTGAATTAATTGAATTCTGGGGCCTCTCCCAGAATACAATTAATTAAATTAATTGAACTAATTGAATTCTGGGGCCTCCCCCAGAATACAAATAATTTAATTAATTGAATTAATTGAATTAATTGAATTAATTGAATTATTTAAATGGTTTGGCTGAGGCCCGGGATCAAAGGAATTAAAATAATTGAATTAATTGAATTCTGGGGCCACCCCCAGAATTCAATTAATTCAATTAATTGAATTCTTTGAATCTCTGGCCCTGAGCCAGACCAATTGAATAATTCAATTAATTCAATTAATTCAATTCATTCAATTAATTCAATTAATTGAATTAATTGAATTCTGGGGCCTCCCCCAGAATTCAAATAATTCAATTAATTGAATTAATTGAATTCTGGGGCCTCTCCCAGAATACAATTAATTAAAGTAATTGAATTAATTGAATTCTGGGGCCTCCCCCAGAATACAAATAATTTAATTAATTGAATTAATTGAATTAATTGAATTAATTGAATTAATTGAATTATTTAAATGGTTTGGCTGAGGCCCGGGATCAAAGAATTTAAAATAATTGAATTAATTGAATTCTGGGGCCTCCCCCAGAATTCAATTAATTCAATTAATTGAATTCTTTGAATCTCTGGCCCTGAGCCAGACCAATTTGAATAATTCAATTAATTCAATTAATTTAATTAATTCAATTAATTAAATTAATTGAATTCTGGGGCCTCCCCCAGAATTCAAATAATTCAATTAGTTGAATTAATTGAATTCTGGGGCCTCTCCCAGAATACAATTAATTAAATTAATTGAATTAATTGAATTCTGGGGCCTCTCCCAGAATACAATGAATTAAATTAATTGAATTAATTGAATTCTGGGGCCTCCCCCAGAATACAAATAATTTAATTAATTGAATTAATTGAATTAATTGAATTATTTAAATGGTTTGGCTGAGGCCCGGGATCAAAGGAATTAAATTAATTGAATTAATTGAATTCTGGGGCCTCTCCCAGAATACAAATAATTCAATTAATTGAATTATTTGATTAAATTATTTAAATTGTCTGGCTAAGGCTACAATATTAAAGAAATTAAAATCATAGAATTATGTAAATTCTTGAGGAGGCACCAGAATTCAATTAATTCGAATAATTTAGTTATTTTAATTATTTAAATTTGTTTGTTAAAAGAGTGTATATGACTATATGTAGGTTTTCAGCTTAGCGCTATGCGGGGTTTACAGTTCTAGGTGTCTGGGCTTCTATTTCTTGAATCCTAAACCCTTAGCCCTAAACCCTAAACCTTAAACCCTAAACCTTAAACCCTAAACCCTAAACCCTAAACCCTAAACCTTAAACCCTAAACCCTAAACCTTAAATCGGGACATGAACACATCTCATTACTGAGTTGTGGTTATTCGGTTTTGACATCGGCCGAAGCTTGCCTTTTAGAGGCTGAGCTGATGGCTTGCGCAAGCGAAGGGTCCACTGACTTTATTTCTAGTCAAGGGGATAGGGTTTAGGGTTTCGAAGCTAAGTTGTTCAAGACCCTAAACTCTAAACCCGAAGCCTTAAACCCCAAACCCCTTAGCCCTAGCCCTAAACCCTAAACCCTAAACCTTAAACCCTAAACCCTAAACCCTAAACCTTAAACCTTAAACCCTAAACCCTAAACCTTAAATCGGGACATGAACACATCTCATTACTGAGTTGTGGTTCTTCGGTTTTGGCATCGGCCGAAGCATGCCTTTTAGAGGCTGAGCTGATGGCTTGCGCAAGCGAAGGGTCCACTGACTTTATTTCTAGTCAAGGGGATAGGGTTTAGGGTTTCGAAGCTAAGTTGTTCAAGACCCTAAACTCTAAACCCGAAGCCTTAAACCCTAGACCCCTTAGCCCTAGCCCTAAACCCTAAACCCTAAACCTTAAACCCTAAACCCTAAACCCTAAACCTTAAACCCTAAACCCTAAACCTTAAATCGGGACATGAACACATCTCATTACTGAGTTGTGGTTCTTCGGTTTTGACATCGGCCGAAGCTTGCCTTTTAGAGGCTGAGCTGATGGCTTGCGCAAGCGAAGGGTCCACTGACTTTATTTCTAGTCAAGGGGATAGGGTTTAGGGTTTCGAAGCTAAGTTGTTCAAGACCCTAAACTCTAAACCCGAAGCCTTAAACCCTAAACCCCTTAGCCCTAGCCCTAAACCCTAAACCCTAAACCTTAAACCCTAAACCCTAAACCCTAAACCTTAAACCCTAAACCCTAAACCCTAAACCTTAAATCGGGACATGAACACATCTCATTACTGAGTTGTGGTTCTTCGGTTTTGACATCGGCCGAAGCTTGCCTTTTAGAGGCTGAGCTGATGGCTTGCGCAAGCGAAGGGTCCACTGACTTTATTTCTAGTCAAGGGGATAGGGTTTAGGGTTTCGAAGCTAAGTTGTTCAAGACCCTAAAC